AGAATCGACTTCTCCACGGGCAACAAGCAAGTCAAGATCTTCAAGAAGAAACGCTGGATCCTGGCGGACCCGGCAGACCGATCTGCGGGCTTCTCGACCCGGCCGCGGTGGATCTGCAGAGAATAGGGCAAGTTCGACATGGACTCGCGCACCAAGAAGATTCGCCTCATCCTCTAGAGCCTGAACCTCACCCAGTGACAGAACCTGATGCGCCCATGCTTCCTTCGCCTATGCTTTCCGCGGGCAACGCACGCAGACAAGAACCTCCCCTCATGGCAGTCGTAGATTCGGATGAGCTTGCAGGGGACATTTACTTGGTACCGCCAAGCTGCACTACGCCTTCTACGGCCACTCGCTCTACGGCCAAGTCTGCGGCTGCAACGCAGGCCATTTCTGACACAACGGACCAGACCAGCCCTTCATGCGACCAGGCATTTTTTAGGCCTTCATTTACCCCCTAGTCGCCGACGCTATGACGCCCACGAACGATGCGGATCATGTCTCACCTCTGCCCGGCCCATGGAGACCCGAGCGACCGCTACGCCAAGAAGGTCTCCAACACTATCGGCTATTACGGGCCGTCCTCGATGAGAGGAAAAGGCAAAAAACCATCACGCGGAAGGATGGAGGCGCTCCTTCTGGTTCTTTCTTTCTTTTTTCCTTTTTCCTTTTCTTTTTCTTTTCTTCCTTTTCTTCTTCTATCCTTTTCCTTTCCTTTCCTTTCCTTGCTGTCTTTTTCCCTTCTGTTTTCGGTTGCCAAGTGTGTTCCCCCTTCGGTGTGTGTGTGTGTTCCCCCTGTTCCTAAGGGGTCCGTCGCTTTTCTCTTCCTTCCTTCTCTTGTCCACCTTTGGAGTCGGACGCCGCCATAGCAAACGACTTGACGTTCAGTACCTCCGCTAGCTGCTGGCGTCCCTGATGAGGAGGAGGGCTAGCAGAGGGAAAGACGATCAAGCGTGGGCTATGCCGAAACTCCTGTTGGTTTGCAGAGTTGGGGTGTGCGTCCAGTGCTTGCTGTATCTCCCATCAAGTGTGTGTGTGTGTGTTCCAGCACCGATAGCGGAGCCCTGAACCTTTGAAGTGAGAAGTCATCGGGCCGATTGCAGGTGGAAACTAAGAAGCCAACGAAGGTGTGCGCAGGGAGTCTTTCCAAATCAATGATGTCATGCCCCGGAGTCCCTGCCATGAACGCGCGTGATGACGAACAAATGCACTCCTGTGAAGCATTCAATTTTGCAGAGAGCTTGAATGCAGGAAAGGGACATGACGGGGTGTTTCCCTGGGCCCCTTGCGTCCGAGTCATGTCCTTAAGCCAAGTGTTCTTCCAGGACCAAGGTGTGACTCAAACAGCGTCAGGAGGTCGCGCGAATAGAACGCATAGGACTTGAATGCTCGTTGAGCTTAGACGGCATGCGTGCAGAGTGCTTCAAGCACGCTACCCAGGCGGCAGCCAAAGTAGGATGGGGGGTTGGCTTTAACTCACATAAGTGTACCAAAATGACACCTTGGTAGATGGAACCAAAGACTAAAACCAGCGTAACTCTAGCTCTTCAATTTTGAGCCACGCCCATTGGGCGTGCTACCTTTTGCTGTGCGTCAGAAACAAACTTTTTCCGCCAAGACTGGCGTCCGGACAGCGGTACTTCACCTTGTAGACTTTTCGATTGCGAAAACTTGTCCCACGGAGCCGAGGTATGAGGCCCTATCCAAACACTTGAAGACAAGACCATTCGAGAAGAGTAGTGGAGAGAACGGCTCCCGCCACTTCTAGCCAATGCTCAGCGTAGTTTGCTACTTTGGTGATCTTGCAGGCAGACGTGAAGAAGCCTGCAGCGAAGGCGCGTGGGTTCATTGGTCTGCAGATCTGTGTCGATTTTGCGGGGATGTCTTGGAGCCGCGTCCAGAAAGCGACATGTGTTTTGTTGGACCAGCTCGAAACTTGCTACCGGCTTTTGAGTAAGGGCCTAGTAGGCGAACATCTTTTGATTGCACCAGCGCCAACAGAATTGCTGAATTTGAGTGGCCACACTCCAGCTCTGTTATCGACTATAGCCGGCCACAAGAAAGCACCAAGGACCCGCGCTGGCCAAAGTTCCTGCAAACTGTTTGGTGGAACACCCTCCAGCCCCATTCCTTCGAAGGAACTGAAGCAGTTCGGCAAGAGCGTAGTTCTCTGACGCTTGGAGCTAAAACGAACTAAGCCGTTTGCAGATGTTGTTTTCACGGATCTCCACAACTAAACTGGGGTTTGGAATGATGAAACATTCATTTATGCCAGGCAGACGCTACAAAAGCGACAGCCAAAGCAGGGGCCTCATGCAATGAGACGTGCGCACATGACTCCGGAAAGCTCGCTTGGCCCACAAAAAGCAACCAAAAAGCGTTGCTTTTTGCATTCCTATCAGCTTGTCCAAGAGGCTGACATCGGTCCCCTGTGTTTGATGCCCATCCGATAGGCAGAAGCCCACATGAAGGGAGGGTGCTGGGAGCTGAATGGAGTTGCTCCCATCTCCAGCTTTTTACGAACGCTCCGGCGGGAGTGGCTCGCACCTGAGGTCGTCCTAAGCTCACCTAGCTTTTTTCCAGCTGTCCCTTGCGCTCGGTGGGGCAGGTCATTTCACTTTCCGATGTTGTTTTAGCGCCGCTTTCCAGGAACAACGTGCTGATTGCAGGGCGTGCTTGCGCTGGATGCTCCCAGTTGCTGCGCCCAAACACACATTTCGTCTGGGACGTCGCACGAGAGGTTCCACCATGACTGGAATGCATGGGATGTTCCCAGTAAGAAAGTCTTTAAGCATTCCCGCCATCCATTGTATCTCTGCATTGGTTGCTGACGTCGTCTTGGACTAGACCTGAAAGCTGGAACAGCTTTGAAACAGATTAGGTGAAGCAGTGACCCCGTTCCAGGATTTGACATTTATACAATGGCGGAGCCAGCAAAACAAACACAGAAAGAGAGAGAGAGAGAGAGAGAGAGAGAGAGAGAGCGAGAGAGACAGACAGACAGACAGACAAACAGGAAAACAATCAAGAAAAAACAGACAATTAAGCAACAACACATACAATACATGAAGAAACAAACAACCGACCAAACAAACAAACAAGTAACAGGCTAAATAGGTAGATATGATATAAATACACAAGCAGACAAAGCAACAAACAAACAAACAAGCAAGCAGGCAGGCAAGCAAGCAAGCGAGAAAGCAAGCAAGCAAGCAAGCAAGCAAGCAAGCAAGCAAGCAAGCAAGAAAGCCAGCAAGCAAGCAAGGAAGCAAGCAAGCAAACAAGCAAGCAAGGAAGCAAGCCAGCCAACCAGCAAACAAACAAATGAACAAACAAACAAACACGCACGCACGCAAGCAAGCAAGCAAACAAGCAAGCCGGCACACCAAGCAACCAACTAACCAACCAACCCAATCCAACCCAACCCAACCCAACCCAACTTAACCCAACCCAACCCAACCCAACCCAACCCAACCCAACCCAACCCAACCCAACCCAACCCAACCCAACCCAACCCAACCCAACCCAACCCAACCCAACCAACCAACCAACCACACACAAGCAAACAAACAATTAAACAAAGAAACAACCCAAACAAATAAACAACAAATAAAGAAGCAACAAACAAAAAACAAGCAAACAATCACATACACAATCGCGCAACCAAACAGACAATCAAACAAACAAGCAAACAAACAGTTTAACAGGCAAACAGACGGACAGACAAACAAACCAAACAAACAAACGAACGAACGAACGAACAAACAAACAAACAAATAGTCAAACAAACTAACCAACAAACACACAAACAAAGAAACAAGCAAGAAAGCAAGCAAACAAACAAACGAACGAACAAACCAACCAACAAACAAACAAGCAAGCAAGCCCGCAAGCAAGCAAGCAAGCAAGCAAGCAAGCAAGCAAGCAGGCAGGCAGGCAGGCAGGCAGGCAAGCAAGCAGGCAGGCAGGCAAGCGAGCAAGCGAGCAAGCGAGCCAGCGAGCGAGCGAGCGAGCGAGCCAGCGAGCGAGCGCGCAAACAAGCAACGCGTCAGTAAATACGGAAACAAAGAAACAAAGGCATAGCACAAATCAAAACAAGATAATAGAGAAGGGAAAAACAACTGTTGCAAGCGAGCTTGGATAGGAGCGGGCAAAAATCCTGGCCAGGTCAATTTGCCCTCAGTAAACGGCAGCAGGAGGATCTCGCAGCACGAGCGTGCCTCGTGTGGTCAGAAGTGCGTTTCTCTGGCAGAGGTGCACCGGGCGCATCCGACGGGAAACGCCGCAAAACGGCACGCTAAGTGCTCGGTCCTGGGTCCTCGGTCGCAACGCGGTCCGTCGTCCTTAGCAAAAAGTGCGCTGCGCATGTCAGAGGCTATTCTACTAGCTGGTGGTGGGAAGGGAACCAAGGAGCTGGGGGTATCCAAATTTGCCTTTAAAGAGGCAGCTAAGGAGCTTCCAGGAGTTCTGTGTGTAGGAAATTCAGAGGGAAACCGTCACCCAGATGTTGACTGAGCCTTGTTCCTAGGCTGCACCTCGCGCCGCTGTGCCCGGTGGCCTGAACTACCTGCTAATGCTCAGAGAATGAGTTGGAATGACCCCCACAAACCATCCCTTGTGGACGAGGCGTCGTGGCTGTTTGACCGATCGGCAAATTGACTAGGGTCGAAACGAAGGATGGTGCAATCCCGGTGGCGAGAACTGAGTGCTGGGCGTATGCATTTCTGGCAAATCAACAATCGACGGGACTGACGAAATTGAACGGGGAAACACAAGCTTGCATATTGCACGTCTTGGGTGCCCCAATTTCAGCAAACATTGGGGCCTCTTTTTTTGTTTCAACGATGTGTCACCATCGGAAATTATGTCCGATGCAAGGCTGGGCTTGCTCTTCCAGTCCTGTCCTCCCTTTTAATCGGGAACCCGCCGGGGGGGGGGGTGGTGGTTGGAGAGGCTGGAAATCTGAGCTGAGGCGTTCTAGAAGTCATGATGGGGCGGCAATGCCGGAGGCGTGGTTGGCAGATGCGTTGCCTTGTCCAAAGAGGAGAACCTGACAGGTTTTCTGTTTGTTTCCCAGCCAACGCGGGTTCCACGAAGATGCCCGATTGGCTTTTGCGTCAAGACTGAGATGGCGGAGTGAAGGATGGGGAAGGGAAGGAGGATTGGCGGATGAGCCGGCGCTTTCACGCGAACTTTCGCGAAAAATCGCCCACGCTTCAGAGTATAGAGTTACTTTTCTGACCATGTGCACACTTGGAGCACCCATCCGCCAAGCAGGGTATTACAAATGTACGGTGACCAGGCTTTCTCCCTAAACTAGAAAAGCGCAATCGCAACAGAGGGTTAAATTGAGCTACCATCGAGAAGAGTTGTACGGCAAGCACACATTACCGTCACATGTCACTGACGTACGCAGAAAACAGCTACGCAACACTTTCGCGGAGAAAAAACACATACATACTCTTGCAACACAATCTTTCGCGAAGGTATCGTAACCAACACAGACGGTCACCGAACACTAGACTCCTTGTAAGAACCTCCAGAACGACTCCCACTTCTGATGGCAAGTTGTACGCTGACGCCATCCCAGGCTCCGATGCTGGCTTGTGGCCCTTGGCCAATAGTCTGTAAGGGACCCTTTCCGAAGGATCAGCTAAACATGGTGACTGAAACTGCTGGATCAAACGACACGAACTGCCGCCGACACAATGAGCACACCACGATGGCCGAGCTGCTGAATTGCATTTCGAGTACTGAATTGGTACTGAAGAGTTGCGAGACTCTGACTCCAGCAAGTAAAAGTGCACGGTGATGCACCCGCCGAAAGCTCCCTGAAATGCTGTCCGAAGCCCCTTGCCGCCCGGCGAAACTCGGACAGGTCAAACCTGCAGCCAAGCCGCGCGGCTCCCCGAGGTGTGGATTGAGATGTGAACTGTGGTTGCTGTGAGGACGCGTCAGGGCAAGCTTTCCTCAAGGGAATCCTGTGACAAGTGGGATTGCCAAGGATTCTTGCCGCACCCGTTGGAGTTGTCGTTGCCAGGACAACCGTTACCAGGGCAACCCCGGAAAGTGGCAAATTTGTTCTTCCCAAAAATACCCACCCAAATGGGGCAGGGGTGTTCGCGCCCCATTTTGAGACACACTCAGTTGAAACCCAGACCCCCAGGTTCTGGAAGGACACTCCTCCAGGTCCAGGCGCCGGCAATTGTTCGGCAATGCAGGCCGACGCCGACCGCCTCCCCACGGCCCTCCCCGCGGCCCAAAGCAGGTGCCAAGGCAGGGAGCGCGATGCCTGAAGTTAAGAAAGGGGCCCTTGGCCAGCACAAGACGTAGTGGAAAAGCCAAGGTTCTCAAGAATTTGCCATGAGTCAAATCCGCCAGCTGGAAGAGTTGCAGCGTGTTTTTCCTGGAACTCTGCTCTCCCTCCATCCGCTCCAGAATGAAGCCCTCGAAAGCCTACTTGATCTTAGTTGAAGGTTTAGAATGTCTAACCGCCGCCCAAATTGGGAGGGATCGTCTAGCCTGTTTTTGGCACCTGTTCAACACACCTACCAACAGTACCAAAGACACGGATCTCTTTCAATGAGGAGACCCCTTGTCTTCTCGAACCTCTTCTCTTCTCTTGAAAGACCCGACAGGCCCTGGCCAAGAGCGCTTCCTCGCCGGTCATGTGTGAGGCGAAGGGAGGGATAATTGAGCGACCAAAGCTCTCAGTGGTCATTGCAGTTGTGGGTTCTAATCCTCGGTTCTGCTAGGGACTGGAGAGAGGTGTGTACAACGCCACGCACAAGCCTTTGCAAATACGTTGGCAAAACCTTGGTTTTGGGGTGTTGCCCTTTTTTGCTTTGCATGGGGACACGACCTCGCTCTTGATGGTTCTTTGCTTGATGGTTAATTGTTTTTTTGGTTCCATGTCAAGACGGCGCATCTGACCTTTACACATGTCACTTTGCTGGTGTACTCGCTTGGTCGCCGGAAAAGCTGCATGCTTGTCCGATTTGAGACGCAAATTAGCACCCACTGTGGCGGTGAGAAAAACCACGTGCTTTCTGGAAGTTTGAAGAGTCCGGGCTGCGTGAGGCAGCGAAGAAGGCAAGAGAAGCTAAAGAGACTCCAGGACAGCATTTAGTAAAATCCAGTGTCGGCAAGTGTGAGTGGGTGGGGTTGTGTGCATCTGTGAACGTATTGCATACCGCAGCTGACGAGCGCAAGTCCCACACGTCATGCTTCCCTCGGCTTTGCAACCCTTATCCGATATCGTTGCAATTGGCTTTGCCATTTTTCAGGTCTGTTGAATCTCTTGGACGAAAGGTGCGCTTTAAACATGCTCCGTCATGACTCCATCTAGTGAGGTCAGCCCTTTCCAGCCACGCGCGAGACCCGAGAGAGCCGTCGCAGGAGCCGAGGCGGAAGCGGCGCGAGAAGCGCAAGCGCAGGAAGCAGAGCCCGAGGCGCCGGCGGAGGCCAAGCGGGCGGCCAAGCAGCCAAAAGCCAAGGCGTGGAAAGGGCTGTGGTCAAAACCGTTCCACGGGATCCCATTTTGGTTAGGTGAATTCACCACCCATGGTAGAACCTATTTTAGTGATGGGGATGTTCACGTTGACGCCTGGCCAAATCGCTTTGCGCGGCACTGGCAGCTGTGATGCTGAGAGGTAGAGTTGTGCCTGCAGACCAAGTCAACCAACCAATGTGTTGATAGGTAGTGGCATTCCGACATGATATTGGCTCAAGAAAATTGACTGCCGCCCGTGCTGACATCTAGGTAGATTCCACCTTTCAACAGGTTAGCAGCCGTATCGCTGGTACCTTGTACAGTCAGCTCTCACCCGCGCCGCAACGGCGTCAAGCGGCGACGGATGCCACCCTGCCATAGCAAGGATGAACGAAGCAGTGGCCAACGAATTGATCAAGGGTGGGCATCCGGAAGGGAAACCGCCATGCAATCCGTCACAGCGCTCCCGAAGCAGTTTTCCTGAGTCCGACCAAGGCGATGCGCTTGTGCCCATCACTTCGGTCGTCCTTCCGGAGGATTCAATGGGAAGCGGAGGGGAACCTCTCGCCGGACATCAACCTGGGCAAGAGATGCACGCGCACATGACTAAGAATGAGACTCACCTTCATCAACATCATGTGAGCGCCCCGAACATATATCAACATAGTCAGACGGTGAATGTGGTCAACACAGGTCCGAGTACGGAGGAAGTGGCTGCCTATGCTTCGGCACGCCACGACGCCATCATCAATCAGCTCCAAGCAGGCCATGTTGAGGAAAAAGGCCGACTCTATCAGGACGCGGTGAACCACATCAATGTATGCCAACAAGAGGCAATGGCGAAGGAAAGAGAGTTCAACGAGGCAAGGCAGCAGTGGGTTGCTCAACGCTTAGAAGCTGAGGAGAAGTATGAACAGCTCAGATTGATTTGGGAAGTCACCCGCAACAAGCAGAAGGAGGACGCGGACAGGAGCGCTGCTGAAATGAGAGAGATCATCATGAAGCAGTCGAGGGACATTGAGGCACTACGTCATGAACTGAAATCTCGCAGTGAGCAGAGTAGTTCTTCTAATGTTCCGATTTTCGGTCTGAGGCCAAAGGCCTCTCCTGTACAGACGTTTCTGGATCTTAGTTCTAAGGTACGTATCAGGTCAGCTTCCACCGAACTCCGCCGTGATGGGCCAGGTGCCGCCGATGATCTTGACGGGGATGCCGAGGAATACGAACCGACATCTCCGGCACAGGACCCAAATGATGGTGGTGGAAATCCATCAGGCGCAGGTAAAGGCCAGAGCGGAGGCGGTGGGGAACCACCTGCCGGCGATCCCGATGATGATGATGATCATGACGACGACGATGACGACGGGAATGACGATGGGAAGAAGAGCAAGAAGGACAAGAAGAAGAAGAAGGACAAAAAGAAGAAGAGCAAGAAGGACAAGAAGAAGAAGAAGAAGAGCCACAAGAAACGAAAGGGTGGGTCTCCTTCCGACTCTCCGAGCTCTTCATCGTCCAGCTCCTCAACATCATCATCCTCATCATCATCTTCGGAGAAAGCCCGAGCGATCCGCAAGAAGCTCAACAAGATCTTGGGTAAGCAGACGACCACTGTGGACGCAGACAATGACAAGCCCAAGGTCAAGGAGGCGGAGAGGATCATCATTCCCTCCTTCCCACTTCCTGAGAGTTACAGGAATTGGCGCATCAAGGTGCGGGAAGCCGTATGCGCGGCGTCCGATCGCCCCGATGACGCTTTCACGTGGATCAGCAGAGTGTGGGAGCCCGCCGTTACGATCGAGGAGCTTAAAGAACCAGGTACTTTCCTCACCTTGGACGCCAAGTTGCTGTCCGCCCTCACCAACATCATTCAGGGTGACCTGGCGAGACAAGTCGACACCTTCAAGGAGGTAGAGGCGCAGAAGAGGAATCCAGTTCGTGGGAGACAAGTGCTTCTCATGGTGCACGAGCACCTGAGCACGAACATCAAGCACGGAGCCACCTATGCCATGGAGGATCTCCTCAACGTGAGGCTCGTGAACGATAACCTCACTTCCTTCATGCGTAGCTGGGAGGGTGTCCTTGCAGGGATGAATGCCAAGACACCGGATGACTCCATGCTTGAGGCTCTGTTCTACAATCAGCTGAAGAAAAGTAAGCAAATGCAACACCATTTGAATGTCTATTTGAGCGCCTCGGAAGAGTCCGCCGATCACTCATACACCTACTTGATTGAATCTGTGAGGCAATACCTGTCTCGAGCCAGACTCGAGCGCAACCGAGAACGGGTTGCTAGGCAAAACGGAGGTAGGCCAGCCGCACCCGCCGCTGATAGCCAACGTGTGCCTAAGGGGTTTTGCGTTGCATTTGTCAAGTATGGGTCGTGTCGGCGGGACAATTGCACGTACAAGCATGAACAGCCATCGGGCGATGCCAGGGGTAGGACCCCGTCAAGGGACGCTAAGCCTAAGAAGGGTAAGGGTAAAGGCCGAACGAATAGCCCAAAGCAAAGGGGAAGAAAGAGTGCCGTTTCTACCCCAAGGGGAGGTGTGACCGTGGTGAAAACTGCCCGTTTGCTCACATCGACCCGAAGCCGGCCGTTCCAGGGTCAAGGGAGCCATCCACAGACAAGCATAACAAAGCAGGGAAAGGATCGGAAGCATCGCAAATCGAGCAGGGATCGTTCCAAGTCGACCTCTCGTGATTCGAAGGGAGAAAAGAAGAAGGGTCACAAGGGAAAGTCTTCCGGAAAGCCTTCTCCTGCTGCTGTTTGTGTGTTGGGATGCTTGCTGTCTTCCATGATGAACGCCCCTATCGCTGAGGGGAACCTCATGTCGGACTGGAAGCATGTGCCTGCCCTCCCGAGCGTGCGTTTCAGCTCGAAGGTCGAAATGAATCGGATACCAGCACATGGTGAGCAGTTTAAGATCGCGGACAAACCGCGCGTGTATTCAAAGGTCTACCCAATCGACCATCAGTTTTTCCATGATGAGATCAGCATAGATGATGCTAGGCTCGGAGCAACCATGCTCGCCTTCATTGTGAGACGTGAATTGGAAGGCCATCCGACTAGATGCAAATACGAATGTGACAGCGATATCGGATGCAACCACTGCGTCCCGAGAGACACCGGCCGAGGAGCAGTGCGAGTGGCTCGAGGTTGAGGATATGGGGCATGTCCCCAAGGTGAATATGGACCGCGATTGCAGGCTTGTGGCTATCTCGAAAAAGATGTCGTACTTCCTCCGGGGAGGGGCATTCAAGGACGGGAAACCACACCCACCATTCCGTGGAATCGATTTGTCGGTGGAGTTCGATGCACTGGTCAGGCATTTGAACGACCGGATTGCCAATGTCATGCCTTGGGAGGTGATGATCTGCATCCGGAATAACAATACAGGGAGATTCCGCGTGATGGTTGGACCCCCTCCTGTGGGGGAAGCATCCTGGAAAGGATTGCCGTATCAGGCGTTGCGGGTGAGGGCCGTGCAAGGACACCACAACGAGCTCACCAGGAAATACACCGAGCAGGCGATCCTGACGAATTTGTATTCCTTTGATGAAGAGTTCACTGCGGCGAAGTACTTGGGCGGGCAATACCCGAGAGCGGTACGGCATCCCGAGCAGACGGATCTCTGGCGCAGGGGCTTCCCTACCATACCTGTGACCTCAGGTCTGCCGAGAGCATTATCAAGTTTGCTGGTCCCGGGGGGCTATTCAGAGCCCACGTCTACTTGAACCCCACGCCACCCTGGGAGGCGCAGATGAGGAAGCTGGCGGGAACGCGAGCCGGAAGGCCCGTCACGATTGCTTTCGATACGGAGCTCATGATGCAAGACGGCATTCGACTCTTCACGAGCGATGAGGCGTTTATGTCTGCCGATTGGGTTGGAAATGCATATATTATTTACGCTTTCCACACCCGCAAGAATGAGTTCCTCTATTTCAATCGTGCGTACCCCGAGCTTCGCAAAAGGTACCGCGATGCGTTGACATCCGAGCTCACGCCAGGTCCCCAGGAAGTCAATCCGAGCTTTTTCAGAAGTGAAAACACCCTGACCGCAGAAAAGGCATGGAGGCATTGGCGGACTGTCGTTGAGGGGACAAGGAACGGCAAATTGCTTCCTGGTGCCGTGACTGAGATTGCCACAATCGATGAGCTCGCTCCCCGGAAGGGGAAGTCGAATGAGAGACCTGCAGGGCCGACGTATCAGATCGCGCCTGCAACCCTTCGACGGGTGCCCGAGCTCTCCAGGGGAGAGAAAGGGCATGGTCGCGGCTGGAACAACCTTCGGAGCCGCTACCAGAACGAGCCAAAGTGGGAAGACCTCTTTTTCACGACCATGATGAAGAACCCGGATGTGAAGTGCTGGAACAAGAGGTGTGGCAACCAGCAGATCGACGGGGGCGGTGGGAAGTGGATCCGCTCCAAGCATCACGCCAAGGAAGGCACAAGCGGGGAGGAATCTCCGTCGAGGCGTCACTCAGAAAGACGGCAAAGACGCATCTGACCAAAGCGCTGGCAATGGGCTGTGAGAAGGTGTCCGACCGCCTCTCGGTCGACCCGTTCTATGCCTATTGCGCTACGCAAGGGTTGACCCCTGAAAGCCTGGATTTCCTAGGCAGGATCGCCCGAGCGATCGTTGCAGACCCAGGCCGCACACGAGAGGAGCGCGATAGGGGAGGGTCTCAGAACACCGGCACGAAGTTGGTGTTCATTCCCAGCCCCAACAAGCGCGACCCCCACGAGTTGAACGTGTCAACGGAGGCTTTCATAGCGCACCATGCGAGATTCTACACCATCATGCAGTTCGCGGTTGTGTGTGCCTATCGTTTCATTCCCGGCAATCAGGTGCCTATCATCATTGGGCACAGTGGATCATACGTCCCGGAAGGGAGCGTCGAGAACATCTTGGAGGTGATGGTTAGCTTTATCCGCACCTCGTGGGCAAAGCGCGACTCCCAAGGAACGATTAGCACAGGCGAACTGGAGATCCCACAATTCTCATCCGGCCGTACAAGAAGCTATCCCGTCGAGGCGAGGAACTCAGTGGAGGGCAATCACCCGGTCCATCCGCCCCGAGCCCTACAATGTCAAGGGAAAGGGCAAGGGCAAAAGCAAGAACAAGGGGCGTCAGGACTGGAGCTCTTGGAACTACGGGTGGTCCTATGGATGGGATCAATGGCGCCAGGGCCCGTGGGGATGGTGAGCACCCGCATCAATCACTAAAAGTTTAGCTTTTGTTGCGGTAACCTTTTCAAATTTCATTGGTGATGTCATGTTCGAAACCTATTATCTTTCATCCATTGATGCCGCAACATTAGCTGTGCCATGTTTGCACGCCCGGCGGAAGCTGCGGCCGTAGGTCAATCCACGGCCGCCACCACCGGCTGTCATTTCGATTTCGCCCAGCGGAAGCTGTGGTCGTGAGATCACCTCCGTTTGCGGCAACAAAATGAATTCAGTTTCAAGCATTCACATGAGAAATCACATGTGTATTGCCCGACGGAAGTCGTGGTCGGCCGACTCGATTGGCATGCTCCTGCAAAAGACCAAATGCATTGCAGTTGCAGCGGCCATTGATGCAACAGGCCCCAAAACACCATGGCTTGCCACTTATCACACTGAGGCTCAACGTCTTCATCGTCGCGACCTCAGAGGACTTTGCTTCAGGCCTGGGAGGGAAACATGTACAAAGTACTGTTCTCACCAACGCACCTCTGCAAAGCGGGGGGTGTTGATAGGTAGTGGCACTCCGACATGATATTGGCTCAAGAAAAATTGACTGCCGCCCGTGCTGACATCTAGGTAGATTCCACCTTTCAACACAATGTGGTTCCAGTACGAAGCCAGCTTTTGTTCGGATTGTCGAGGCTTGTGGTTAGAGCCACAAGCAATTATGGGCAAGGAAGGCCAATTTTTCCTGCGTCAACATTTGTTTGTTTTGGCGCACGGCTTGCAACACACGAATGTGTTTGCTAGGCCCGGCGCCGAGTTTCCAGCCAAGTGGGGAACCTTAGGGCTGCTCATCCGTGGACGGGCAGCTCAGTTTGCCGAGTTTTTTTGGACTCTTTTGTATTTGCAGGATGGAAGCCAGTTCAACAGAGCGTCTCTTCGCAGAGCAATTGGCCCGGGGTTCCGTGGCCAAGTTGGGAGAGTCTTTGATTGGGCGCTGTGCCCCTTTTTCTCGGGAGTTCTATGCGGTCGTCTTTTGATGTTAAACGCCGTCAGCTCAAGAGCAATCCACTTACTCAGTTGGCGAACGGCCCTTGGCCAAACACCATGCTCTCCCATGAACATGCTCTGGCTGTACTCGGGCTGCTTGTGCTCAGTACGAGTTTGCAGGCATGCACAGGTTTTGCAACCGGACAAGACTTCAAAAATGGCTGCCGCCTGAAAAGCCTTCGGACAAGTTCGAAGCCACGGATGTCTGATTGGGGAAGACATGCCGAAAACTTCGAAACCTTGGGTGCTAAAGCGCAGAATTTCATGAACTTTGGAAGCACAGTGACAATGCTTCGAGTAGGCTCCAGAGCACTCTCTCTCTCTCTCTCTCTCTCTACGTTAGAATTTGTGCAGTGTTTCTAGCTACCTGTTGCCTTCCAAGCATGCCGCTGTGGCATCAGACCAGCGCCAGCCTTTCCAAGCAGCAGAATGCACCATTCCGACCTTTCCGAGCATTCCGACCAGTTCATCCCGTTTAGCCCTGCATCGTTCCCAGACAGGACGTGGCTTGTAGAAGGTTGAGGTTGAACTTTGTCAGGACGCAATGAACACCCTGAAAAGTGAAGGTGCAGCTTCACCAGATATGGCTCGGTTTTTGTAGCAACTTAAGGGACAAACGACCTAGCCCATGGCAAAGCAGAGAGTTATTATTGTATTCTCCCCCTTTTTGATTCATGGCAGAAAAAAAAGCAAACAAACACCATTTTGCCAGGGTTTGATGACTCAGCTGCGAGTTTCCGCCGCGCCTTTGCAAGTCTGAGGCCTCGTTGGAGAAGATGGCCAAGGACATGGAGAAGACCGTCAAAGCTGCGCAGGCCTAGCGGTCAGGGCAGCAAGTTCTCGATGCGGCAGCTCACCTCAGGTGGCTGTGTGCTAAGACATCCACAATGCTGAAGCTATCTTTTGCTGGCTGCATCCTGTCCCAAATACCTTAAAGACCTTGAGCCTGGCTTCTAGGTTGTGCCCTCCATCTCAGCCTGAGCGCCGCGTTTAAAATGCATGGGGATTCACTTCGAACCGGTGCGCCGATTCGTGAAAAGAGGATGTGGGTCTGTTTGCACCACCTTTCCGGCTTAGGTAGATGTTCCCCAAAGGGATGCCCCATATGAGTAGTCAAGCTAGAACCCCCAAAAAGCCAAGACAAACAACGTGAAAAGGATGCTCAACCAAAAGCAACAACCCCAAATAGGTCTCTAGGGGCCGTTGAACTGCAAACAGGGTACCTGGAGTCTCCTTGTGACCCGAAAGATTACACAGAAAAAGGGGGTGCCAAGTTATGTTTGGGGTCAGAAGGAGACGCTATTCGGTAACGTTGGGTAGTGACCCTGTCAACGGAGTCTCCGGTTCTCCCACCAAAGCCACTGGACGCCTCCAGGAGCGGAGCCTGCGGGAGTCCGAAGCCCACGGGCGCCAGGCGGTCTTGAGCCCGGTTTTTGGGGTCCCGAAAAGTGACTTTTGGTTCTCTGCCACCTGACTCTTGGATTGGTTTGCCTTTGAACCACCAGAAAAAAGTCTCATTTTTTGGAGCATGTCGCCGTTTTTGACAGGACCCAGTTTCGGGGTTGTTGGAAAGGGAAACCAATTGGGAGGCCGCTGATTTTCAGGGGTTCCCGCATTGATTTTGTTGGGGGGCTCCATTTTTGAGGCAAACCCACATGCTTGATTGCGATGCGTTTCCACTCTTGCCAGACTTTGAGCGGGGCCTGATCGCTGGCATGACTCCAGGTTCGCGCCTTTGTGCCAGGCGGAAGCCGCGTCTCTGCGCCAGGCTTTACAGGCGCGCATGTTCTGGCTGTCAGGGGCCTCTGTTCGGCTGGCAGACGAGTTTGCCGAATGGAACGAACATGTAAACAATTAGTGAGTAAGCCAGTCCTGGAGCGAAGGACATTGCATGGAATTGCTTGATACACTGCTTTTGGAATCTCAAGCGGCATCGATACAAGATCCTTGGCATCGTGCCAAACATACACCGGACCTGGCGCTCTTCATGGCTGCTGATGGTTTTGGCTGCTGGCTGTTTGTTTCTCAGTAGACATGACACGTTTCGTACTCACAGATGCATTCCAGGCCTAATTTCCAAATCGCCCGAAGGCCCAAACAGCTCAGACGTCAAAAGGACTGGGTGAACAGCTGCCAGGCCGGCAGCCTGCGCCTGAAGGGGTCCGAGGCAGGGTTTTTCCAATGGGTGGATCGCCGGGTTTTAGCCTCTTCTGGAGCTTCGTTGGTGCGATGGACGATGCCTTGCTCGGGCAAGACCTTTCGGCAACAGTGCGAGTGTGGGGAAGGTTCTGCAAGGGTGGGACTCGTATGATTTTTTCCGTTGCTGCTATCTAGCTGGCAAGCTGTACAGGACGTTTTTATACTAGCTGCTTCGCACGGTGGATGTTTACGATCTGCTTTTTTTGCACTCCGCCACGCCGTTTTCCTTACTCTTCCAGGTGCATTTGGATTCCATGCCTTTCACAGCTTGCCATTCTGCATCTGCATCTTGGGTTTCTATCTTACCCCGTCCTTTCCAGGAGCCGCCGGCGCCCACAGCCCCGGAGCCCGCAGAGGTCGCGGAGGCCGCGGAGGCCCCGGAGGCCCCAGAGGCCCCAGAGGCTGAGGCCCCGGAGCCCGCGGCCCCGGCGCCGCCGCCGCCGGCGGCCCCAGCGCCGGCGCCGGCGCCGGCAGCGCCGCGGTCGCCGGAGGCGAGATCGCCCAGGAGTCCGAGGAGCCGAGAGCCGAGAGTGGAGAGTCGAGACAGTGGATGCGGTTCCCGTTTGGCTGCGCTTTTCCTTCCGCAACTCTTTTGATCCTAAGTCGCATGGCTCGACGCGAGCTCGCCGAAGGGAGCCGGCCATTGATGCAGCGTTGTATTCTGGGACATATCCTCAGGACCAGCTCCCTGAGGCCAGGACGGGGCAGGGAAGGAGCCGGGACAAGCTGAAAGAAGCCCGAGTGTGAGAAGCACATGCCGGAGTCATACAGGTTTGTACATTCTGCGCGTCTTTCGCAGAGTCTCTGATGCAATTTTGAGCTTTGTCCGGATTGCCTTCTTCAGTTTTTCCAGATTACATGCAGTGGGCCTGCAACACTCCGTGTTAGTTTGCTTGAGTATTGTTGGTTGGATTCAATACCTCGTTATGCCTTGTTTGAATGTAGGTTGCAGGGACCGAACACTAACAGATCTCAGCTTATGGCTGAAGCTGGCTGTGTCGCTCTTTGCTCTTTGGGTCTTTGGTGCTTCATTGAAGACAAACTTAGTCACCCTGTGGCATCAAGACCTGCAAGCTACTAGTAGCGCTATCATGACACAGAGTGCCTGTTCCGAAACGCGCGTGCCTGCGGGTCAGACTCGCAACCCTCTTCCTGTACCGTGAAAAGACAGAGTGGCAGCAGCCGCAGTGGACAGGTCACCCCTCCGATTGGCCATGGCATGCAAAGACTGATGTGGCCAGGCTAGTTGTGGCCGACCTTGTGCAGCAGGACAGGGCGAAGACGAGAGTCGTGCAGTGCTTCCATGAACGACAAATCAGGCAGCACCAATAGATACGGATCCATTTTATCAACTTCTTGATTCGCAGCGAATCGACGCAATTGAATGGGAAGCAAAGGGCAGCGGGCCTTTGCATCCTCCTTTAACTCATGCCCATGTCGGTTCGGTCAACATATCCAGTCGTCTCTGGTCCATTTGGGATGGACATGGGGAACTGACGAATTCTCAATGTCTTGCGTGGGAACCACGTCTTGGGATCGTGGCTTAGGATGCGGACGACACGCAGCTGGCTGCAGCTCTTCAAAAGGTGCTTGGTGATTCCGCGTCGCCCCCCAGGCGCGCTCTTGCAGGGGAGTTTGCTCATGGCTTCCACGCATCGTTCTGGAACTTCAGGGCCGGCTGAGTCCATGCGGCTTGGTGGTCGCAAGTGACCTGCCAAAAACCAATGTGAAAACTAGTTGGCAGGCAACTACCGGATGCTTGACGTTACGAAAGATGCCAAGAAATTCTCCACGAATCACCGAAACTGACAACAGTTGTCTTGTCAAAGTCTATATGGCTGCTTCCTGAGTATTGCAAACCATCCATTTACTGATCCACAAGAGAATCCTTGTGCCCGAACCTGGCATTCTCACTTGCGACCTGTTTCATGAGCAGGGCGGTGCCGCCCGAGCGCTCAAGCTGGTCAGGTCGCCACCCAACGTGATTCTTCGCAGTGGCAGCAAGCAGAGGCAAAGGGCGGCCATCCTGTTTGTCAAGTTTTTCCTTCAAGTGACTGTGAGGTTTTATATATACGGAACCACCTCACAAGTGGCTGGTGCCAGATGCATTCCCACCTAATGATGCCCTTGACGTATTACCTGGCCTTAAACGCTTTTGACAGGTTCGGAGATGTTTTATTCAGGTCTCTTTGGACAGGAGTGGGAACCCATTCTTTTTTGGGATGCTGGTATTGAGGCCCATCCAGCCCCAGCCAAGGTCAAATTTGCCCACCAGTGCGGACATCCACTGGAATGTACCTTTTGACTGTAGCCACGCATAGGCTGCTATTTGTTGGGGCCCTGTACGTGTTGCCGGAGCGTTCAATCGACAAACTTAAGCCTCGAACTTTGCTTTGCGCAGGTCGGACAGCGGCTCCCCGAAGAGATCAAAGGAGAAGAAGGACGCTCCAATGGAAAAGAAGGAGGGTCAAGGGCTCAGGTAGCGGGCCATGGTTGCCGAGGGGTTGACTTTTGGATTTCCATTCAACCGCTTTCGAGAAAGGGCATGGCCATTTGGAAGGAAGACGTTTTCAGTTGTTGGCAGCCAGGCAGCTCGACATGCCATTGCCAATGATAGGATGCAGAAGGAGTCCCCTCAGGTCTCAGGTGAGATTGCAATCTGATTTGATACATCTCCTTGCCATCCCGCCGTGCTGTTGCGGGGCACAAGTAATTGCGCTTACGGCCATCCCAGCTCGCATTTTGCCGGCTGAGGTGAAGCCAAGAGGGCATCGAAGGTTAAGCCAAAGGAGCCAAAGAAGCCAAAGGCGCCAAAGGAGCCAAAGGAGGAGGGGAAAGGCCTGCGAGTTTCCACTGGCCGTGTCGGATGTTGAGAGAGTCTTGAGCAGCTGGCTGCCGGATTTGGCTGGGGTGGCGCCCGATCGGTCAGGGTCATCAAAAAACACAAGCATCCTGAGCTCTACCATCGAGTTTGCCTACGAGTGTTGAAATATGGTCGAGGGTCAACATTTGCCGAGGAGTAGAATCTGTAAACAGGTGCCATATTTGTATGTAAGATACATGATATGTAAGATAAATACATTCATGACTTCACAACATAATATACACTATACTGTACATACACACTCACATACTTGTACTCTAAATATACTAAGCGGTCATAGTTGGCGAAATTTGTTCGGGTTTGCGCTTTTTCCCTTTACCCCCACCCCCCCACCCCCGGAGTTTTCGCGGCTTCTCTTCTTTTTTATCATTCGGAGTTGTTAATGCTTTGGAGTTTGACCTTGCACCTTTTTCAGCACTTTTTGAGTGTCGCAGGCTGGATTTTCGATCAACTTGCCTGGTGTTATTTTGGTTTATTGTTTTCGCACTTTGCTTTAACTTTTCGTGTTTTTCGACAGTTTCGCAATTTAGATTCTTTGAGTTTTCGCACAAATGTTGGATTTTCGGGCATTTCCGCGCAACTTGTGCGTGTTTGGGAGTTTCGTTTGGTTTGTGTTTTCGAGTTTCGGGAAATTGTTGCAAAGTGTTCGTTGTTTGTCCCGTTTTCGCCCGTTTCTTCTCTGCAAGTTCGGACTTTTAGAGCTTTACGCTCCTTTCGCGTTTTCGAGCTTTTCGCATGTTTCGAGTTTCCTAATTGTTTTTGCAGATTCGCGTGCTTCAAATGATGTCTGACTATTCATACAATTCCTTGTGTTTTCCGTTTGGCACTTTTACATTTTTCGCGCTGTTCCTAATTTTTGAGTTGCTTTGTATGTTCGACACGTTTTAGTTTTTGAATTTTCAATATGCGTTCACACTTTTGCAAGTTGTTTGGCGCATTTTTCAGTTTTGCTTTTGATTTCTCGTACTTGACGAGGGTTCATGCTGCTACCCGGTTTTTCAAGGAGCCCGATCCTGATGTAGGACGCGCGTACCTCCGGTCTATGCACATTTATGTATACATGTGTATGTATGCGCATGTCTATGTACCATTGGATACATATATATATATATATATATGGACACATATAACATATACATTATATGGTACCTTCTGGAGCACTCAGGTTTTTCCCAACAATTCACATTTGTGCTTGTAAAATGCACTTCCCAGCTTCTAAAAGCGATGCTCCAACGATGCACTCTTTTTTTAGACTTAAATACTAGCATCAGTACTTAATGCAACCCAGGATGCGCGAGCACGTGCTAGTGCGTCCTGGATTGAAGATTGAAGATTGAAGCTTCTCTGACAACTCTTTCTGGGAATCTTCCAACCTCTACTTAGGGCCATCCAGGATGTGCTAGCAGCTCAGCACATGCTAGCACATCCTGGATTCGTCTAACAGACTTGAAGAATCGCCGAGGGTGGTCAGAGTTTTGTTTTTGAACCTTCAATCTCGATGTGCTAGGACGTGCTCGCACAGCGCTAAGTATGGACTTGAATAATCCAAAAAAGGCAGACAAGGAGTGCACGTTCCAAGAATCACATTGTGGATGTGCACTACATTTGGGAGGTCTTCAATATTCAACACACGTGGGCAAACCTAAAAGAGTCTAGAAAGACTGTCATCCTTTTGGCGGGCCGGGATTGAGGATGTTCTAAAAAGGTTTATGTGGAATCTTGAAGATTCGACCTTCGATCCAGGGCAACACAATCTGAGCAAATGCTAGCAAACACCGTGTTTCACGGAATCAGATCTGTGTTTGAACACACGTTTTTATTGGCTTGACTGAGTTCTTGCTTGGTTAAAGCCACATGGAGTTAGATAAGGACAAGGACAAACATCCTGTTGAAATTGATTTTTTTCCAGTTTCAACTGGCCATGACAGTAGCTGTGTTCTCCAATGGTGTTTTGAAATGCACAAGAAACTGTAATGGGTTAAAGTTGGATTTGGTTTGATCTCGAACACATCTTAAACTGGATATCCTTCCTATATTTGAATTTATAGCTGTTATTGACAATGGCTGAGTCGAATGAGACAAGCAACGCAGGTGCTTTGCAAATTAGGTTTAAATAAACAAGTATATGACATTTTGACACAACGATGAAATGACATGTAAATGCAACTGCGCAAGGACGTGCAACACTTTTATATTGGATATGGATGTCAGTTGCAATAGGAATGTGTTCCTTTCCCAAATGGATGATTTGCAGAATTTCCCTGCTGGGAAATAATCATATCAATAATAGAGCTGTTACATGCACGTTGAAGTGCCAAAGCATACTTCGCGAACTACTTTTGTGCTGAGTGAGAAATGAGCTGAGCTTCCAAAGTGCACTTCGCATACTCCAATGTGACTTTAAGCGTACTTCGTGCACGCCAAAGTGACTTTCGAGCTGTTGGAATGGGAACTTCCTTTTTGATGTTGAGCTTGACTTTCTGCTTTGGCTGGAATTCGCATGGAGTTGCATATCCTGTTGATTCAGTTCAGAGTCTCAATTCAGGTCAAAGAGGGCAAACACCAGAATATTTCAATGGGGGGGGGGGTGGCACATGTATAGGTAGATATGGTATGCACGCAACATTCTTGCACATGCCAGCCCGCACCACGGATGGCTCCAAACGGCCTGCGCCCAGTCCGCGCTGGCTCGCCCCCACGCAGGCCGCGTGGGGAGTTGTTTTTGTTAGACGAGTGTCAGCAGTTTCGGAGGGCTTTGCGGCGTCAAGAAAACAGTTTGTCGTACTTTCACTTGTGTTTATCCAGCATGCTGTTGGTGTTTTTTTTTGGGGGGAGGTTGTGGGCATGCGCATACAGCGCGTTGTTTGCGGAATTGGGAGTTAGTCGCATCTTGACATTTGTGCATTAGGGACTTCCGATGCTCTTGAAACAAAGCAACCATGCAGGGCTGAATGTTCAACAACATCTATTGAAATGTTGAACCTCACTCAAACTGCTTGCGGCCTCCTGTTTGTCGTTCTGTGTCATGATTTTGGATTTCTTGCCGAGGCTTCAAAGGTGGGGTTTCCAATGTAGATTTTGGGGTGAGATGTGGCATCGACTTGTTTGCAACAGAGGCCCCCTTTCTTGGACCTGCGAAGATAGACCAACGCGAGGTGAGGTTGCCGAAGATGTCCATTCTTCCATTTGATCATTTGCCAAGAACTTGCTCAAGTCTATCCCGTTGGCAAGTGTCGCAATATATGAAGTACATATATATATATATATATACATGATTACATATGTACTTTGAGGCACGCTGGTCGATCAATTTCAGCACACATGAAACCGCCGCCGCGTTCGGCATTACGCTTTTCGCTTTGAAGGAGCCAGTGGTCGGGAGAGAAGCGGCCGGTGAAGAAGCCGTCTGAGGACTGGGCCAAAGGGAGGCAGCTATTGAAACATAAACGTCTCCGTGGTTTTATCCGCGCTTTGAAAGCGCGTTTGTAAGACCCTGCAGCAAGTGCCAGGGTTGCCTGCCAGAGCTGACGGAGCAATTTTCCGTGCTTGTCGAAATACGAATATGGTCAGATTGGAAGTGGTACACGAGCTCTCCAAGTGATTGACCGGTTTCGAGTCGATGACTCAGCCGCAAGCAACTGTGTGTTGTCCGGAGCTGCCCCCCCTTGATTTGAGAGCAAATCATATAGGTTTGTCTTTTCCCCCTTTTGGTTTCCCTTTAAAGCCACCAAAAAGGATCCCCTCAAGAAAGACACATCCCGATGCTGCTGAGCACTGGGTGGTTGACCGCGCTGATTGGATCCATGCCTTGCACTTGTGGCACTAGTTGTCGGCAACCCGTATGTTTGGTTTGGATTGCTTTGGGGAGTTGTGGGGAAACCACCCAGGCTCCAAACCAAGCCAAAGCACCAATTCGAGGGAAGCTGAGATGCGGCAATTGATTATCCCCGGAGAACCTCGAAAGTGGTTCCACAGGATGTCCACCAAAGGGTCGCCAACTACATGGCAGCTGAAATTGAAAGGGATGGCTCAGGAGGGCCCAAAGCCTGCCTGGGATGACCGCTTCTATGTCAACGAGGCCAATGCTGGCATCCGTCGGCTTCGGGCGAAGCTTCGCCCCATGTTTCAATCGCATCCCGCTCTCTTGAAAGTGACTTGCTTTTCCGGAAGCGAGGGCGCGGTTTCATGTTTCGGGGAGGGTACGTGGTGGGGTACTTCAAGCAGCCTCATTTGATGGGTAGGATGGTAATATCCACTTTTGACTTTGATCGCTCCTGCTCAAAAGGCGCAAGTGGGTTTGTCTCAAAATAGAGCAACCTCCAAAATGGGTGGCTTCCTTTTGCTTTCTCTAACAACTCCAAACAGGGTATGCCAAAGGAAGGCCACAACCAAGTTTCACTGGGCCAAGACACGTCACAAACGAAGGCACTTTGGCCAGGATGGCCACGAGGTAATCTCCAGATGGCTTCTGACTCTTGAGGCATGGCTAAACCCCGTGTCCGAATTTTGGTATGAACGACCCGGTGAAAATCTTCTGCTGGCAGAGTGATGCAAAGAGGGCTACCATTCCCGCCATTCTTTGCAATGTGGTGCCATGCTGTTTGACTACAGTATCCCAATATCCTGGCCTGATCAATGATTCTGGTTTGCGAATGGTGCACGGCCACTTTAGTTGACTGGGGTTGCTGAAATTTCTCCATTTCATACTGTTTGACAGGTTGATGGTGTCGTGTGTTGCTCGGAATTTGTTGAGTTTCTGACATGTCCTTGACTGCTTCTTGTTCACGCTTACAGTGTTCAGATTTAGGGTAGAAGGAGCCTTGTACTTGCACTGGCTGATCAGGTGAAGCTGAAGCCACGCAAAGCATCTGGTCTGGAGGCAACCGCATTGCGGGGAGCCAGTAGGTCCAGGCAACCTTGTTAGGGCTTCCGTGCTCCTTTTAAATTGGGATTGCAGTGGACAAGCCATTTGCCAAGTCAGCCCGAATTCGAATGTCCGGATGCCTGTGCCCCATAACGTCATGTTCACCTCCTGGACTGAAGATCTGGATGTCACGGATGGTAAGCTAGGCCTTTCGGCACGATCCTGGCGTCACACGTTTATCAGCCAAACAGCACGAGTAGCAGCTATGGGAAATGGCAATCAACAACATGGATTGTCTAGATTTGGCAAAACCTTGGCTAGCAGGCAGTGGCACACTGGAATGTGGAAGTGACATGCGATAGATTCAGGCATGGGATAAATCAAGCTCGTTGCCAGGAGGAGAAGCCTGTCAAGCAGGAGGCCAGCATCGCCCACTCAAGTTGTTTTTTTTCCCTGGGGAAGGGCCCACTTGTCCCAAGGAAACAAGGAGTCTGCTGCTTCGATTCGATCTTTGCACTTCTCGAGAAGCCATCGGGCAGGAGGGCTCCCGGAAGCTCAGGCCAGGGATCGGGGATGGGTTGAGGTGGATGTCGGGAATCCAAGGCGACGCGCGAAAAGATGGAAGCATCACACCTGGAGAAGTTCTGCACTGGATTAGACGTTGCGTCGTTTTTCAGCGAGGAAAAAACACCTTTATCTGTATGAAGTTTGAGTTCGGCATGTTTGGCTTGGAGATGTCCTCAGCAAATCTGTCGAGGCGCCGAATCGCCAACTCAAACAAAGGCAAGGCATGAGCGTTTGGTTTGGGGGCCCGGAGTACCCAACGGGCACACCACCTTTGGTGGGCCAAGTGGGATCTAACACCTGGGCACAAGGGGCACCACCAGTACACTTGAGGTTTCTGGACAGCCCTTGAGTTTACGGTTTGGTGGAGGCACAAGCGGCACATGGATTCCCTTCCTCATCCCCCATCACCTTCATCCACGCTGCGCGTTTTATGGAACGCAGGTCACCGGGTGCCAGCCGCCGCACAGGCGAGCCGATTGCGTCCGGGTGTGCTTATCCATTCAATTGGACCAAGGCGCGGGTACCCCTAAATTGGTGGTGCTTGCTTTCGATTTCCCTTTAAAGCCGCAAACCGCGACAAACAAGGGTACCAACTCCAAGACGTCAGACACCCAATCCCTGGAGCCACAATCAAAACCCGATAGATGAAGTATTAGTAAGGGACACTCCCAACCATAGCTAGCTGCAGCCTTCTTCCATTTGAAAAAGCCACAATCAAAACCCGGGTAGAAGGTTAGTAAAGGGCAGTCCCAGGCAGAAATAGTTGCGGCCGCCTTCTTACTTCTTGAAGCGTGGTTCTGGGTAGACCATTTTACGGGGTTTGGGTGTTCCTGCCTCGCCATCCGAGGGCCCCCGGCTTTTTTTTTGAGCAGCTTTTGCCAGGCCCGGAGGCAAAGAGGACTCCGGGCCGCGTGGGCGAGCCGACCAAGTTGGGTGTGTCCTTGTCTTTTGTGGAGGTACCCCTGTTTTGGTGGGTCCAAAAAAGGCACCAAGAGGACACCAACCCATTCTTGCGGCTTCCCCTATTTTGAGACCAGCCAATGTGTGTTTGGTCGAGCTTCGGGCTCTTGGTTCTTTTGCTAGATGCACAGCCAGTCTCAAATGAAAGCGAGATGGCGCTCCTTGTTTTGCAAGCTTCGAGTTCAACGTTAACATCTCACTTTCGGTGTAGTTGCAGCAAAGCGCCGCAGGAGTCCAAAAGCAAAGGCACAAGCGCAAGAGAAGGCAGCCACTTGAGCAGAGAGCACGCCTGGCGCAGGAGTGTTGCCCCCTGAATCCTTCCGGAATCCCCGAGAAGATGTCAAAAGGGAGTGTTTTTTTGTCAATCCGGGTTACAAACTGCAAAAGGAGACTGAGACAACCATTGCACGGTACCCATTCTGCTTGCATTAAATGGGAGTTCCGCAACGTCGGGTGCCATGGGCAGTTGAAACGGGGAGCTACATGTGACCTTCGGGCCAGTCCGCATTCTGTGCAACAAAACACATCGACTTGTTGCGTCCGCTTCAAACCACTTATGCTATTTAAGTCGCGCATCGATAGACAGCGGGCGAATATATTGTGCTGGCCTTTCGCGGTGGGAAGGCCGATTTCAGGATTCGGGCTAGCATTATTTTAGGATTTCTTCTGACATCCCTTTCCGAATTTCCTGATTCTGACGTCCCTTTGTGCCGGAGTCAGGCAGCCGAATTTTTGGGAAGCCTCCCATTCCGGAACGGCCTTTACGACATTCAGAGTTCAGTTCCAGAATAGAGAGGGGGGCCCGAGCTGCAGCCTCAGATCGCTTGACATTCCTTCTCAGAACCCTCGGATGTTTGCGTAAGTGCGTAGCTGGGTGCACAGGCTTGAGGGATCCCTGGGCTCCAACCGCCCATCGCTTGCAGAACTCGTGGACCCTATAAGTTGCTCTGGGTGGTTCAGTGAATCAACAAATCTCGCATTGGCAGTCAGGGTGTTCAAACTGGAGTCCTTGTTCGACCCGTTGGCGGGAAAGCGAGGGCTGCTTGCCTGCCCATGCCAGTTCCTTCATCGGGAATCCACCAGCCATTTGCAGGCCAACGAAGCCAGCGAAGCGCCTGCACAGACGGTGGCGGAGAAGGCGCGCGGTTTGGCCCCGCTGCTTGATGCCAGAGCAGCTCCGCGCATGTCAAGCCACGAAGCGACACGCGGGAAGCAAAACTGTGAACTCCCATGAGGCGGTGCATCGGCATATGCGGGCTTAGCAAAAATCCCAGGAGCCAAGCGCCCAAACGTTTTTGATCTTGCCGATGACCTCGAACAAAAGCGGGTATTTTGTTTACAGATCGCCTCCGATGCAATATGCTGGGTTTGCAATCGTGGTGTCAACGAAGAGCCAGGTTTGATTCTCAGTCTCGGAGAGTCTCGAATGCGCACCTTTGTGTCCCCGCTGGCTTTCGACAAGCAAATTTGTGTTTTGCTACGGAGTGGCAACATTTTTTGATCGAACCAGAAAAGGGCCCAACGAGATTTCTGGTTTGCTGCATTTTCGTAGTATCTCTGCAGTTGCGCTTGTCGGTGGAACACAAGGTTGCAAGCATTGTTTTTGCATGGGAGGTGTGAGCTCATGACTAAGAAAGATCGCCGCTCAGACGATTTGCTTCAGGAGGACGCTTTCAATTTGTATCGAGCAGCCATAAGTGCATTGCCCAGTAGATTGGTGCACAACGCCTGGAATTGCAGGCATCCTGCCTTACCGCCACCAGCTGTCAGATTGGAAACAATGAGCTTCAGCGGTCAACGACCTAGCATTACTTCGAACAGCATGGATAGTTGGGGAGTCTTTGTTTGAGGGACCCCCTAAATGTTTGGTTTCCTTTTGGTTTCCCTTTAAAACCAGCCCCAAAATGCCAAAAGAGGTACCCACAAAAATTCACAACATAGAAAGTGGTGCGCAACTGTGTTTCACTGGGCCGTGAGTTGCATCCAGTCGAATGGAAGTTTGACTTGCCCTTTAGCTTTGGTCGGAACTTCAAGTTTGTGAGCATTGCAAAGCCACTTTGAGCCATCGCTAGCATGCAAATAAATACATCTTGCTTTACTTTGGCATCCGCAAAATCCGAGTCAATCGCATTTCCATTAGACGAGAACTTGCAACAAGCGGGGTACTGCGAATGTGTACACCGTGCGTGGCTCTCTTGCCGAGGGTGAGTTGGGACCCGCTGCTTCTTTGGGGTGCCGTCCTTTTTGACACGACACAGGCCGCCCTGTCTCCGCGCTCACAAGTGCCTGCGGAACGCTTTGCCGCTGAGCGTGCTGCCCGACAGGCCTGGAAGGTCGAGTTTTGACCGTCCAATGGGCGGTGGTTCCTTTTTGTAGGAATCGGACCCCCCAAAATGGCAATGGTTTTCCCTTTCTTCCCTTCGAACCAACAACAAGAGGGGTACACTCAAAAAACACGCGCACACACACACACACCCTGTGGTGTCTGGCCGCAACCACGATGGTCGGCTTCCAAAGGATTCCCAGGAAAAGCCCAGGAAAGCTGGATACTGAAGGCCTTCAGATCCAGTGTAGTTCTCACGTCTCATTGGGGGTTCGGTTCCAATTGTTTCCGGATAAACGTGATACTATGGCTGCCGTCACAAGGGGTTGAGAGCCGGAGGGCATCCTGAACGCAGCTTCCTCAACCCCTTTCCAGGCCCACTCTGAAGAGAGCTGCTCCGCTCCCATGTTCATCATGACCCCTTTGTGTTATGCCTACCCTGCTAGGTCCGAACATGTGGAGGGGGGGACGTCTGAAAATGTAATTGCATTGTTCGTCCCCTCCCGCCCTCAAAAAAATGGTAAGCGGGCCCCACCCCAGGTGTATAGTTCTGGTTTTTTTTGGGGTAGAAGTTACCTTTTCTCCTCCCCCCAAAGAAAAGTGATTGACATGTTCAAGGATTTCCTGGAAAGCTTGATAGGGTGGGTCAGCGGAGGCGGCGGGGAGGTGGGGATGGGGGGGGGGGGTTGCACTGATGATGCGCGAGGGGCAGATGTGGCGCAGAGGCTTTTGGTTATGTGTGAGGTGCCTTACTGATAGCTCGGCCAGCGTCCAAAATGTAATCTTACATCTGGCATGTCTCCAGACCAAAATATAATCCTGCATTTTTAGGTGGCAAACCCCAGATGCAAGCTACATGTTCAGAACGTCCCCCGTGTCCTGATCCTAGTCCTGCCGGCTTTCAAATCTTCGAACGCCCAGGCGTTCACCAGATGAGACTCCGAGAGCTGCGACAGAGCCATTTTTGGACCTTCCCGCACTTTCCGATGGAAAGTGGCCGGAGGGCTCGAATTTATGCCGCAGGTTGCGCGACGCGAGAGAGACATAGCATCACCGAACCTCTAAGTCTGGGTGCCTGAATGAGTCCTCATATGAGTCCCTGAACTTGTTCAATGATGTAGCCGGTGTGCGCATGTGTTTTATGCAGGGCCATCATGCCCTTTGCCCTGCCTGCTAGCAGCGGGGACACAGCAGTAGCGTCTGTGTCAAGCGACAATGCGCCCATCTCGCCTGACTGGCTGGTAGTTATCGTTTGTGGCTCGCACTCATACTGCTTGCTGTGTTTTCGTTCTTCAAAGGAAATGCATTCCGCTTGTTCTGTGGAAAGAACCAACACAGCTGGTCAGGCTTAATGCTTGTTGGCGCACGGTCCGGGGTGGACTTTCGCTTCAACTCGGCCGATCGGTCCATTCGGCACCGCAGCCTTCGAGCAAAACACGTGCGAGGCTTGAAGGAACTTTGTACAGTCAAAAGACCTGGCAGACATTCCTTAGGATCCCGATGTGAAGTGGCTGAGATCCCTTCCTAGTCTAGCAGAGATCTTTTGTGCCCAACACACACTCGCTTGTTCTGAATGTAGTGTAGAAGAGACTCTGCTTTTGGATGTTGACAACCGTGCAAACAACATACTGCCGGTTCAAGCTTCTCCCAATATTCTATCGGGCAAACGTGTGATATCATGTGATCCTGAAGTCTATCGTCACAGATCGACGCCAGTTTCTTCTTGGCTAGTCGTTGATCTTGTTTCAGGCACGCGGCTTAGAATTGGGGGCGCGAGTAGCTGACTTCAGCTTGCTTTTTTTGATAGAGTGGGTTGACACACCTCAGCTAATAGAATCTGACAAATAGTTGCAAAGCAGAGTCCAGAGCTATTATAGCGTAGTTGGGTGCTTGCCGCTTTGTCAAGCCAGAGTAGCTGCAATTCTCTTAGTATTTTCCTTTTCATTCCTGTTTGGCATCAGAACTGAATTAGAGCTCAAATAACATTTTGTATCAGGTTTTTGTTTTTTGTTTTTTGCGAGGGCCATGGAAAGGGTGTTTTTTTGCCTAGCTCTGGCACAGGGCTAACCCTGGCAGGTGGTTGGTTGGTTGGTTGGTTGGTTGGTTGGTTGGTTGGCTGGTTGGTTGGTTGGTTGGTGGGTGGGTCGGTGGGTTGGTTGGTTGGTTGGTTGGTTGGTTGGTTGGTTGGTTGGTTGGTTCGTTGGTTCGTTGGTTCGTTGGTTCGTTAGTTCGTTGGCTCGTTGGCTCGTTGCTTCGTTGCTTCGTTGCTTCGTTGCTTCGTTGCTTCGTTGCTTCGTTGCTTCGTTGCTTGGTTGCTTGGTTGCTTGGTTGCTTGGTTGGTCGGTTGGTCGGTTGGTCGGTTGGTCGGTTGGTCGGTTGGTTGGTTGGTTGGTTGGTTGGCGGCTCGGTGGGACAGAGGTTTGAGACGGGTTCACGTTGGGTTTAGGGTAGGTTTGGGGTAGTCCGTTTAGGTTTAGGCTGGGTTTAGGGTGGGTTCCAGGTTGGCTCAGGGTTCAAGATGGAGTGCGAGGTAAACGGCCAAGGACTTTTGTGCTTCAAAGGGGGAACTTAGCTTTCTCACTTTCGAACAATGGTTGCCAGGCTTGAGCCGGAAACGTTATACCGAATGAAATCAATTGGGCTGAGGTCCCCAGTTTACAGTCAGAAAGGGGCGATGGGGTCTGCATTTGTTTGTAAAATTTTACCGAGGTTTTGCAATGATGTTGTTGCCTCTCGACGTGTTTGGTGTTTGTGGGTTCTTCTAATATCAAAAGACTCGCAGCACTGGAATAAAACTCCAACCACAAATGGATGCTCGCCTTCCTTTCGCGATCTGGCTCGTCAAGTTGTGCCCACAGGCGCATCTCGCGGACGGTGAAGCGTTTGGTAAAAAGGCAAAACAGTTCAAAGGGAAACGCTAGCAAAGGTGTCGTTTTCAGGGGGTTTTTCGCTTTTTGGGCGAGCGCGCAGAGTCGGCATCGTGGCAAAGATAGAACACGACCTCCGCGAAGTGCTGCCATGAGCTCTGGACCCTGGGCCCTCGAGCCGCGCGCTCGGTTCGCGCCGTTCATCCGACCATGTCCAAAGGCCCCCCCCCCCCCCCACTAAAAGTCATAGGCGCGTTTCTCTTTGGACCCACAAAATGATGGTTTCCTTTCTCGCAAAAACGGGGTACCCTGGAAAAGGCACCTCTGGCACCGATTTTGTGAAATGAGGTCTGGCGCTTTGGGCACCATGAGCCCTGGGCCATGCCCTGGGCCTGGGCCATACCCTGGGCTTGGGCCATGCTCTGGGCCTGGGCCATGCACGGGGCCATGGGCGGCGCTGGAGCCAGGCGCTGAGTTGATCCTGAAATTTGATCTGACATGGGGAATCCTTGTGGAATCCATTTCTACGGCTGTTTTTTGTTTTTTTTGGGTCAAAGCCAATTTAGCGCACGCTGAGGCTTTCAAAGGCAGAGATGGGCACTAGGGTCCAAGGGCCATATTTTTGCCACGGGGCGATCGGGCAACGCCCAGAGTTCACCATGGTTGTGCGATTCTCCCTAGAGAAGTCTTGAATATTCAGCCAAAGGCAAGACCTGCGGCTTCGCGCTAGAAATTTGGACGCCTCGTGTTCCCCACCCAGTCCGGGAGATCTAGAAATTGCCAAAAAGGTGAAAACGGTGCAAGCTTCCACCCGTAGAAAACACGGCAACATCGCGACTCGGACAATCACTTGTGTTTACTTCTGCCACAGGCAACACATACGAAGGCAACAGCGGTTGGCTCTACACAGGTGCCCGTTGCTAAGACTTGACTTGTCAAATACGAGTTTTGGGCCAGGCAACTCGTATGTTTGTATGGGGACACAGCGTCAGACTGTTATATTGCATCTACACTCTCAGGAGCGTCCCGCTCGCATGCTTCCAGATGATTCACACCCAAGCTATCGTATGTTTTCCTCCACCTCTCCCTGGACAAACCCACATGTTGAGAAGCTCTCCGGCCTTCTCCTTTGAGATCCCCGAATCTGACAGAATCATTTGGCCGCAAGCGGAGGGTGTACCCTTCACGGACTGAACCTTATTTTGCAAGCAAACTATAGTAAAACAAAGGCGGGGGATGGTCAGCACTTGGGGCGAGGACTGGAATGAAGGACAAAAACCATTGCGTCAGTGGCAATGATATTAGCAATCGGCAATGCCTTTGGTGAAGTTGCTAGTTTTTGTTGGAGATGGAGAGGGACGTCTTCAATCAGGCTTGTAGGTGGCAGCGCAACCTGGATGTTGTTTTTTGCGGACAAGCCTTGGCGGCTGAAAGTCGGGGCAGCCACGTCCTAGGACCAGCGCTGGCGCCACGGGTTCGTTCTCCGGGCCGTGGATGGAGCCGACTGGCACGAGGCTGGGCTCTGAGCGGCGTTTAGATGCGAGCAGATAGGAAAGAGCTTCAGAGAGGGTCACGTCCATAAAGTGTTTGGCAACTATTGCGAATGCCCAAGATCGTTATGCTGCAACACGTTTCAACGCACATGCATTTCGGTCTTTGCCTGGGTTCTTTGCCGGTTGGATGCCCCATGATTCCTTGGAATTTCTTGTGACCCAAGAAATGGTTTCCTAACCCAAAGTGAAGTCAGGTCTGGCGCTTTGGGCACCATGAGCCCTGGGCCATGCCCTGGGCTTGGGCCATGCTCTGGGCCCGGGCCATGCACGGGGCCATGGGCGGCGCTGGAGCCAGGCGCTGAGTTGATCCTGAAATTTCATCCATTTCTGAAGGTTTAACTACCTTCACAACCCATCCAATCCATTTCTACGGCTGGCAGCTTCCTTTCGGTTTGCCTGGGTCGCAGCCACCATAGCGCATGGGGGGGTGTCAAAAGTAGTGGCCCTTGAAGGGGCATCCCCCTGTAAAGGCAGAGATGGGAGGGTCCAAAGGGCCATTATTCCTGACATGGTTGCACGATGGGTTGCGCCCTCAGGGAAGTTTTGAATATTTTGCAGTTAAAGGCGCCACCCAGTCAGGGATATCTAGAAATTGCCAAATATGTGCAACGGTACAAATTTCCACCCGTAGAAAACAAGGCAGCATTGCGAATGTTTACTTCTGCCACAGGCAACACTTACAAAGGCAACAGCAGTTGGCTCTACACAGGTGCTCGTTGCTAAGATTTGACTTGTCAAATACGAGTTTTGGGCCGTGCCACTCGTGGGAAACATCGTCAGACTGTTTTATTGCATCTACACTCTCAGGAGCATGCCGCTCGCATGCTTCCAGATGATTCACACCCAAGCTATAGTATGTTTTCCTCCACCTCTCCCTGGACAAACCCACATGTTGAGAAGCTCTCCGGCCTTCTCCTTTGAGATCCCCGAATCTGACAGAATCATTTGGCCGCAAGCGGAGGGTGTACCCTTCACGGACTGAACCTTATTTTGCAAGCCAACTATAGTAAAACAAAGGCGGGGGATGGTCAGCACTTGGGGCGAGGACTGGAATGAAGGACAAAAACCATTGCGTCAGTGGCAGTGATATTGGCAATTGGCAATGGCTTTGGTGAAGTTGCTAGTTTTTGTTGGGACGTCTTCAATCAGGCTTGTAGGTGGCAGCACAACTTGGATGTTGTTTTTTTGCGGACAAGCCTTGGCGGCTGAAAGTCGTGGCACTCACGTCTTAGGACCAGCGTTGGCGCCACGGGCTCGTTCTCCGGGCCGTGGATGGAGCCGACTGGCACGAGGCTGGGCTCTGAGCGGCGTTTGGATGCGAGCAGATGGGAAAGAGCTTCAGAGAGGGTCACGTCCATAAAGTGTTTGGCAACTATTGCGAATGCCCAAGATCGTTCTGCTGCAACACGTTTGCAACTAGATCCATTTCGGTCTTTGTCTCCTTGGTTTCTTTGCCGTTTGGATGCTATGTTTTTTCCGGGATTCCTTGTCCGTTTTCAGAGTCGCGCTCGCCCAGGACCAGCGCTGTGGGGGCAATAAGCTCCATGAGCACCGGGCCATGGACGGCACTGGAGCCGCCAGACACCCAAGAAAGGTTTCTTAAGGCTCGGTATCAACTTGTTTTGGTGGGTTTAAAGGGGAGCAAACCAAATTTGGGTCCTTTTTTGTTCAGCTTGAGACATACTATATGGGATGTACACACGGGTCACCTATGGGTATTTGGTCATGTGTGTAGCATCATAGAGCCCATTTGTTTCAACCCAAGGGTCATCCAAACTCATCGATCGAGCTATCTGATATCACTCCATGCCAGTTTCTAAGGAGCCAAGAGGACTTTCACCCCCCCTATTTGTGCGTGTTTGCTTTTTCTACTTTTCCAGGGGGAAGCTCTGTGAACATTGCTAACTTCCAAGCACATTTCACGGTGAGCTCTGTGAAACGAGCTGAAGGTCGCTTACTTGGGGTTCAGGTTTTTGCAACTCTAGATGAAGAATGCTTCTTGCACACTTGTTCATGTGACAGTCTTCACGTGAGTGTCCACCAACAGAGAAACTCAATGACAAGATTTCTTCAAGAGCATGAGTCTTGAAGAGCTCACACGCAGATATGAAGACACACGCACACACACACACACACACCCAGCAATACAGGCTCAGGACACCATTGCCATGGGCGGTTAGGTTTCATGTTCTTTCGATGCCAAGTGGGTGTGCGGTGTTTTCAGACCCCCAAACCCTAAACCCTAAACCATAAACCAATGGATTTGTAGCCACCTGACTCGAGCTGAGCTTCTCCCGCCCAGTAACGCTTCGCCCAGGGTGGGTGCCGGTGCCTACGGCAGCTACAGTTCCAGCTGCGAGGAGGGCTGGGCAGGGTGGCCGGGGCTGGATTTGGTGCTTTTGTTTTTTGGGCCTGAACTCATTTGGATAATATACGACATATATATATATATATATGTATATATATATATATATATTTAAACAACCTACTAAATCCCTGTGTGTCAAAAAAAAACACCCCCATGCGGGGCCCTTCTGTTTATTTAATATATATATATATATCATATATATATATATGCACATATGTACACATTGATGCATAGCGCATGTAATTCATGAACAACTCAATGACATCTATTTCCAGTGCTCCTGGCTGCAAATCGTGATTGAGGCTTCGGCGGCCTTCGGTGCATGTTGTTTTTGTTGTCGTGTCCATGGATAATGTTGTCTGACATGAGCTGAACTCATACAAGAATGGCAGGCGGGTCATTCTCTTCAAGATGTCAGCAACTTGTTTTGCGTTTCAGGATCATCAAACGTCGTGTGCCCCAAGAAGCACAAGCCCGAGCTTTCGGACACGCTCACAAAATCAAGTCATTGGGAGCGAGAACGGTGGCACCAGCACCGATGAGAGCCTTTGGGCATTTCTTCACCCAACTACCCACCGAACAACCAACCACCCAGCCAGCCAGCCAGCCAACCAACCAACCAACCAGCCACGAACCAGCCAAGAACCAACGGACCGACCGACCCAGCTTTCAGCGCTACACACGAAGCAAACTCCGGCCCCTTCGGCTCTCAGCCCGCGGGGCATCTCACCGTGGCAAGTGCCGTGTTGCCGTGACTACAGCTGCTTTTTTTGTTTCTTCTTTCCGGGGGGACCTCCTTTTGGGTTGGTTTTACAGGGAGACCAAAAGGAAAAACACATTTTTTTTAGGGGCCAATGGGCTTTGTTCCTCCTGGAGATAGACCTGAAGCAAATTGCCTGACTTGGATTCCGATGCGAAGGACAGCATAGTCAAAGCATGTGTTCTCCGGTGCCATAGATTGGGAGTCGCAAGAGTGGCGATCTGTTTTGCATGCAGCCAGCCTCCGTGCAGGCTGTCGGGCAAGACTGGGCTGTCGAGCTCCCAGCGTAGCTTGCAGCAGGATAACTTGGCGCAGCGCCCGCAACGTGAAGCTGCTTGAGCCTGAAATCATAGATACCATACCACCCAGGTTTGCCACACCGAGATATGGTAGCATTGCTTGCAGACGCCGACCAGCGCAGGCGTCATGCGTCAGCCTGTCTGGTCTTAATCCCACGCTCACCAGGTTTGCCAGGGCCTCTCCCTCTCGCTAAGCTATAGAGCGGGTCACCCACAAGTGGCCTTTCCATGATGGGATGGTGCCTGCGGGCAAGGGCTGAGCAGCCGAGGCCAACCTCAGCTGCTTGAAATGCGGCAAGAGCATGCTGCCGGACCGCCGAAGGTTCGTTGAAATCTCGTGGCAGGATGTGTTTTAGACATTGGGCGAGTAAGAACTATCAATGTCGAGGCATAAGTTGCAAACAGCCTCGGCTCTTAAAGTAAGTCGAGTTTGAATGCATTGCTCGCTGCTGCGGCCCAGGTAAGTAGCTTTGTTGTCAACTCGTTCAACTATGAATCATACTCGTGTTCCATTGATGAACATGTCCTTGGATATGCTTAATTCTGATTAGACAAACTGCTACTGCATTGCGTTTGACTTCAAGAAGGGTTCACCTGGCGAATGCTCGAATGAATCTGACAACGCAACCAACAGCGAGCTGCCATTCGCGGCCGATGCTGGTGGACAGGCGGAGATGTGCTATAGCCTCCCCATGAATGAATGCAACAGGTGCATACGGCAGGTGGAAGGTCAGCCACATTTTGGCGTGTCTCGTTTTGGGGTTTCTGACCCTTCAAACATGAAAGTCGGTTGTGCCTTTGGTATCCCTAAAGCACCAATTTTTGGTTCGAAAGTCAGAAACGGACGTTTCCCCACCATGGGTCTCTGTGTCATCCTTCGGCTGTTTTCAGGACTCCTTGTACTGCCGACACTGTGGCCACAAACGCGACACGCCGGCTGGGGGCCCGGCTCTTCTGTTTTACACAGTTCGAACGTCGAAATGGATGACTCGTCAATTTAAAGGGGCCCCGTGGCGCAAAACCAGAACATGGGGTGCAACTCCAAAAAACGTCGAGCCACCCAAATAGCTTTACACTTTCGTGTTGATGCTTGAGCAACTCTGCATCTTTGAGAGCCCAGCACTGGCATTTGCCTCACCTTTCTCTGGCGTCTCTTTTTATAGTGGGAATCCCATTGGACCCAAAATTCATTTGAAGAGACCCGCCCTTGAGATTCCTTGAGCAAATCGAGAAATGACCTGTTTACCATCCGAAGGTTGGCTACGATCTTGCGAGCTGGGACCTGAGAGAGAGAGAGAGAGGCGGAACTCCTTACAAAACACTGACATACGTTTTTACCTGTCCTGGATCGTCCAAAGGAGCTTTTTTTGTCACGCCTTCTCTCGTGAACAGCTGCTTCTCCGGACAAACGACACTATTTTGTGTCTTCATTCACTTTCACCTTGTTTTTACTCTTCTGGGACGAATCCATGAAGGCGAAACGGCAACGTTCCCCGACCAAACGGCGACCTTTCCCAACCATGTTCCCAGCCAAGATTGAAACGACACTTTTTGCAATGAAAAAGCGTGTTTTTTTGACCAAAGGGAACTCTGTGCTTTTTCGGCAACGGGAGAAAACACGCACCTATGGAAAAAAACACATAAACACATACACGTACATGTTTTGTACACGTAGACAAGTGATTTGTTAGTGCAAGGCTTGTTGGTTCGTGAATGGCCTATGCAGTGTTGCAGCTGTTCCAATTCAAACTTGGTAGCCCAGTCCATGCTGCCTGCCTCGTTAGCCGGTGGTAACTGCCCGTAGCGGCCGGATTTCTTGTACACTGCAACCTGAACTGGGAAAGAATGAGGGTGTTGCCCACTCCAGACGTCATTTGATGACTGGACTATGAGTAACGCCTGGGAGTCGGGGCGGCCTTGACTCCAGTTCAACTTTGAGGGATGAGCTGAAGGTATGACACTCGCCATGACAGAACATCTCGTGCGACTTAGAGACCGGCCAAAGGTTGGCAGCAATGATTACTGGCCAGTCACCTTCCATACCAACTGACGCCAGATTCAGGTCCACGGCCCTAACTATGCAAGGCGATGACCCCGATTCACCAACCTGTTTCAAAGTTTCTATGCCGCCACGCATTCTCCGGCAAGTGTTTTCGGCCTTGGGTAGTTGTTGGCACGAATGGTCCGTCCCCAACGTAGGTCGAAGCGAAAGCGACGAATCCGTGCTTTTCCTTTCAAGCTTCACACCTTTGCTACTTGCATTTGATGCATGCCTGCGAATTTCACGTTCACCAACACTAGGAAAATGCCACTGAAGTCTTTTTCGAGGATCAGCCAAGGATGTGGGGGGTCCTCACAAGCCGCGGCCAGATGGTCTGAGCGGTCTGAACGGCGCGCCTGTGCCGCCGCCCTTGGGGCACGGGCCCCAACAGCAGCTGATGGGCACGGCTTCCGGGGGTCCTGCAGGCTTGGAATCGGTTTGGTTTCCATTGGGGTGGTCTATTTTTGAGGGTACCCCCTTTGGAGGGGTTTTAAATGGAAACCAAAAGGAAAAAGGCGGTCAACCATTTTAAGATTGAGCCCTTTTGGAATGTGTTTCAATGGTAACGCAGTCTGCATGAGGCGCAGATTACCTGAACATGGTTTCATCAAAGTTTGGCCGAAATGGGCTCATGGAGAGTGGCGGCATGTTGGAGGATTGTGGTGCCTATGTAGATATGGGCAAACAAATCTGATTTTTAACAACAGGCAGCCAGCAGCGAGGAGCAATTGTTAAGCAGTCTCTGAAATACTGGCGCTCTGGGTGACTCTGCAGCCGCTTGTTCAGACAAAGATCAGATAGAAGCCACGAGGTATGTGGATATTTTTTACGCCAACCTGCAGCCGTTGTGAGAGGCGGTATGTTGTGAAGTTGTTGGCAAGAACTCAGATTCGTTGCTGCTGGCCGATCGCTCGGACATGGGGCGGTCAAGGGGAACAGTGTCGGACAGAATAAATTCCATTTTGTGGCAGATATTCTTTAGACATTCGCACTGGCAATACTTTTGAAGGAGAAGGACATTGTTTTGGGAAGCCAGCACGGCTGACTGAAAGTGAGGCAGGAGTAGGTGATGCTGAGGTTGGACACTCCGAACAAGACGTTCGACACTCAAATCTTTCCCACGCAGCCAGCGCGAGGGGCCCAAGTGACGCGGGTATGCTGGAAGGAGCTTGAAGTTGGTGTTGTGGAAAGGCTGGCATTGTAGGACAAAGCACATTAACAATGGAACCTAGTAGTTTCAGGCCCATTCCTGGCGAGGGATTGGATGGTTCTGCAAAAAAGTTTGCATGGCAAGCCCTGTGTCAGTCGAAACCCCTTAGGTTTGCAACGCACCTTTGCTGCTTGTGGTGCCCTCCCTTTGTGATTTGGTGGTAGTTTTACCCCCCGCGCCATGTCAAAACTGCCTAGGTTGGCTCGGAACACACGCACAGACCTCTCAAGCGAGCGCAGCGTGTTTGACGCTGCAATGTCTCGACTTGCCCTTTTCTGCCTTGACTCAGAGCCTGGTGCTGCCACAGCGTCTAGACTGTGCAACCAATAACATAGCATTGCTTGCAGCACCGCCACTGACAGCCTCAGAGACACCGTCCCCTTTTTGCCCCGATTGATTTCTGCAGCAGCACAGTTCTGCAGGACACTGCATGAGCATGTGTCAGTCGCATTCGACGATTTGTGTATCACTTTGACAGCGGCTCCGTACCGCATTGAAGGTGCCAGCTCCATGAGTGCGGGTAGCCGTCTCCCTCATTGTGGGGAAGATCAAATAGGAAGCATGGGCATGTTGTGATGCTTGCCATGCGGTCATTGAAGAATTGAGATCCGTTTGCTGTTTTGCTGTACACATTGGTGTGATCGCTATTTTGCACCATCGCCCACGAACATGAGGCCAACCTGCCATTCAACTTCCAACCAGTGTTTCTCTTTTTTCTTTTGTGCCTGTGTGCGGGGCCTTGACCCTGTTTGAGTGTTTGCCTCCATGATGTCTTCTTTTTTCCATGCCTGTTGAAGATGTTGTGGCTTATGATTTTTTCCGGATCTACGCGCCATTTGGGGTATGATTCTGTGATTAATGAGGGTCAAGTGATGCGAACAGTGTGCCTCACAAACCTGGTATAGAGCAAGAATTGCACCTTCTCAAGTTCCAATGCCCTATTTGAATCCTGCATTCTGTTTTTCTTCTCGCTTGCCGCCTAATCTACTCGTTGACATCTTCTTTGGATTGTCTTCCCGTTTGCCGGAGGTTCCTTTGCTCCCAGCTGTCTTTGCTTGGCCCGTCGGGCAGCGGAGGCTGGACCCGCCGGGCTCAAAGCGGCTCTCCCCTCACCGGGTGGTCTACACAGGACACGGCCTCGATGCTTTAGGGGGACAGTCAGTCGCAACCGGCGTGTGGCGAGAAGACGTGTTGATTCACATGGCTGTGGTTGTCAAAACCGTTTTGGGATCCCATTTTGGGTTTTTCGGCGCACCACCCATTTTAGAACCTATTTTAGTGGTTGGATTGAATCGGATGTTCACTGGGGGTACGATTTGGCTTTTGACCCATGGCCACATGTTTTTGGGTAGACCTAGTGAGGGCGCGTGACATTGGGCGCACCCCAAGTCAGTCCAAGGCGCCGCCCGCGAGGCCCAAGACTGGTTGCGTCGGCTTTTCCTGCAGATTGGTGCGCACCTTTTCGCCGGATTCTCATCATTTTGTTTGCCTCATTTAAGGCGGGCTTTCATGGTGCAGGACAGCTTGGTTGTGAAATAGCTTTGCATTGTTTCACCATGGTCTGTGATGAGGCCGTAAAGCAGTGATGGTGCGGACATCCGCGGTCTAGAGCATTCGCTGTTTTTGCTGGTGCCGATATGCCAGCGACGCAGGTGCAAACTAAAATCTACTCAAAGCTCATGTTCTCCTCTAACATCATTCAAATCACAGCCGCGCTGGTGTATCCTTGCAGCCATGACAATGAAATGCCGAGCACAATTGTACATGGTCATTGGTTTGGTACCTCAATCTATGCTTGTTTTTGGCCAAACTCGCAAGTGGTTGGTAAGGTTGGTGTGGCCCAGGGTGAATGTTGCGAATGGCATGGGAAAGCGCTTGGGAACATAGTTCGAAAAACCGGACATGGACTTCTCGGAAAGAGCTACACAGCAAGTCTTAGGGCTCAAAAAGTCAACTTGCCCCAGTGAAATAGCGGGGAATAAGCTGCCAAACGGGAGGCCCTTTTTTAAACCCCACTTGCAATTGAGATGCGTTGCACCTTCAGGAGGAACGGGTCAGAGCTGGCAGATTGGAAACGGGGCGTATGTCATATGAGCGTTGTAGGTCCAGGCACCACTGCCGCCCAGCCGACTAGGCACGGGCTGGGTTTGCGGGCGAGCTTGCACAAGAGGTCGTGTGTTTGTGTGTGTGTGTGTGGTGTGTGTGTGTGTGTGTTTGACCCCCCCAAATTGGCGGTTTTCTTTTTGGTTTGCCTGTGAAGCCACCAAGCAAGGTGTATCCTCAAACAAAGACCCTCCATATGTCTTGATGGCCAGTCCACCCCTTCCCATCACCTTGAGTGTCGGTATGGCTCAGATGCTGTGTGCAAATGCCATTGTCGCAGCCTGGCTTTTACTTGCCATCAAGAAGAATGATGCTTATCCATTCAATTTGGTATTCTAAATAAACGAGGTAAACCGCCAAGATTCGAGAGACGCGACTCACTTGGAGGCACTTCAGCGCTGCCAATGACTGCAGCTGGATTGGATGGCGACGTGGGCCCTCTCGCAGGTGGGGGACATGAATCCCAGGCATTCCTCCACTGACGCGATTTGAGCCGGGCAGCTTTCACAGATTTCGAAGCGGAGATGGTGAGGTTTCATGAACATTTGCGGCATCGTTCCGTGTGTTTTCCTTGATTCTCAACCGACGCGCACTTTGGAACAGACCAAACGGAACGTGCCTTCCGACTTTCGTCGAAAAGTCCCGGCCTTCCGAGTCAGTCTGAGGCAAGGATGAGCGGGAGCGCTGGTTCCAGCACTTGGAGGCTGAGCCCGTGACAAACATTCGGGCATCCGAAGGTCCGCCATGCGGCTGTGCTGAACTCCATCCATGCATTGTGTACTGTACAATGTAACCACAACTTTTCTTGGATGCTGGCTTCTGACCATTTTCCATTGATTTCATCAGCCATGAACCCCTTTGTGCTCTCTGCGCTTGTGGGCCCCTTGCTCTCTCTCGGAAACTGCGGTTTCATGTGGGTGTATGTCAAAACCAATGGTACCATTTTGGGGTAGGTGCACCACCCACGTTCGTCTATTTTAGTGGGCATTGGGATGTTCACTTGGGCTACGATTTGGCTTTTGACCCATGGCCTGGCCATGTCAATGCGTTGCAAGTCGAAGTGTGTCGCGCTCACGGGCCAAGATGGCCACCAGACCGGGCATTTCGAGCCTGCCAGGCCAGGCCCTATGCAGGCTCGTGGGGAGTGTGCGACAGAGCCTTGCTCGAGGGAGCTATTTGGGTATGGGTCACAATTAAACCAACAGGGGACCGCAGGTTTTGGTCCATGTTTCCACTTACTAGGGTTCCATTTGGGGTACCTATTTTTGACCCACAGCCATTTTGGGGTGGTTTAAAGGGGAACTCAAAGGAACACTGCCCATTTTGTGGGGCTCGCCCTCATATGACATTCCGATGTACTGCATCGAGCTCCGGAACGCGAATCAAGCGGTAATGGGCTTCTTGGAGATCTGCCGTTCTGAATGACTTGCACAACAAAGAGGTGTTTTGTCGATTGTGCTGTTGAACCGAATCGAACACCCCTTTAACCCACTAACATGGAACCTGAGAGGAACACCGCGTTGCTCTGAAAAGGGTCCTTTTGCGCGGTTCCACCTTAGTCTACTGGGTGGGTAGATGCGTTGGTAGAATGCCCCATTCGGTCTTGGAATCACCTCTTTCTGGTGGCAGAGCTCCCAAAGAATCTACGGGACATTAGCCCAGGGTCTCCCAGGCTCTGGTGCATTTGAGTACATGTCACTGCCCCAAGCTGGCCAGGCTGGAATGTTTTCCCAAAAGGCGGCCTTCCATGTTTGCATCGCGAGACGCCCGACTCACGTGCGCAGGAGTCGGGCGAGTGCTGTCGCCATCGCCGGAACGGGTGCCCAGCCCCGCTCGGGGGCCCAGGCAAGGCTCTGTGTTCAACTTGGGGAGGTAGGAATGGGGCCGTCAGAGTGAACCTTTGGGGTGCTCACCATTTTCGCTTGCGTGTCCACACACAAAAAATACGTCAAGCCACCAGTTCGAGCGTAAACTTGAGGATGTCACAGTAATGGGGCCCAGAAGAAGAATGGCTTAAGTGGTTCTCTTCTGAACCTCATAGTTGAAGCAGGCACACCCATTTCATTCAAGCGGTTCATTCAGCCTGAGGCTACTTTCTCCCTTTTTGTGCGTACGCTTTTGCGAAGGAGCACGTTGCAAGTAGTGCCTTCTAACATGGTACAGGCAAGGGGAGGAAGGGGACTGAGGCTCCAGACTTCCGGACAGCGTGGCGCCTCAGTGGCAGGGGCAGCGCGCTCGCCTGCTTTGCCCTCGAAATGGCGGTGCCCAGATTTGTGCGGCCTCCTGTTGGTTTCCTATTGGCTTCCTTGAAACCATTTGCTTGCTGGTGCCCTGCAACCATCAAGGGGTCCTTTGCCTTTTGATGCCTTGTGCGAGTTCGAAATTGCACGCGAAGTGCCCCAAGACATCAACGAACACATTTACACAGCGTGCAACAATCCGTTCTCCTTGACGCGCGTCCGTTGGGAGGCTTTTCGGCAGCCTCTTGCAAGGAGCAGATCCGAATTCCCTAAGGTCAGACTAAAATTGGGTGAATTTTGATATGGCACCATTTAGGTGGGGATTTGTGTCCACCAACCACCTCCAAAGTGGTGCCTCAATTTTTTTTTACGGCCAATTGGTTCTCAAAGGGACCCCTTCTCGAAGCGAGGATTACATCGGGGCCGCAAAGACCAAGGCCTCACCACAGGCCTTGGCCCCAGTGCGTCACGGCTCGGGAGATTTGTCTGGGAAGCGTTCCCTGCCGGTTTTGGCCTGAATTAGAGCATCCCAAAGAAACGTGCGGAGGAAGCCTACGCTTTCCGAGTGCATTCATAGGAGTTGAGGCTCAGGTTTGCAGTTGACCCCTCCCTCAAACTCGAAGGTGGCAAAACATGCGCTTGGATACACATGCTGAATCTTTCCACCGGCAAGGTTTGTGACCTCAAAGACTGTGTGTGTGTGTGTGTTGCTGATCATGTACAGCCTCGCATAAGTTGAGCGCAGTTTTTGGCGCCACATTCAACGTAACGTGCATTTGTTTGAAGCTTGCTGGTTAGCCATAGGTGTTACTTGCCAATCTACAGAAGTTGAATTGCCAGAGACACGTCATCGCCTGCCTCCCGCTGCCTGCCCAAAAAACAGCGATGGAATCCCCCCCAAGTGAGCAGCTTCATGCCTTTGCGCAAGACTCCTTTCGAGTCGCTTTGTGCTCTTGCCAGCTTCACCCGCTTTTTTTTTTTCATGGATGAACCCCGCATGGACTCGGTATGAAAGCTTTGCACAGGAGCCATCTTTCTATGTTGGCTCCTGCTGTGGATTCTTGTGATACAGAAACAAAAAAGGAAACACCATGGGTCGCAGCCCAACAGTTTGACAACCCCTCAATGGAGAGAGCACCATGACGCCCCAGGATTCCAAAGAAGGAGGCTAGAAAAACTGCCACGTATTTGTGCTACCCTCCCTGTGCCCCCCCTTTTGTTCTGTACATGCGGGCATGGAGGCTTGCCACCGCGAAGGGCGGGAGGCCTGGCCGGCAACCGGGTCCAAAGGATTGCCAGTGTGCATGCAAAGGGACCTTCAAGGGTGCGAGGGTGCATGCACGAGGATGCAAGGTGCGGAGCTACCTGAATATTGGTCCTTCAGATCCATTGCTTGCGACGCAATGATTTGGTTGCCGCTCAGAATCCTTCGAACATGCGAGCGACATCTCCTTTTCCGTGCGCAGTGTGCTGGCAGATGCTTGCCCATTGCACTGGTGCCACGAAAGTGCCATAAGGCCGGTAGAATCCATCATTTGAGGTGGTCGGGAACTCTCTTTTGATTCAGGGACACAAGAGACGCCAACCATTGAGGTGTGTCATTTTTTGAGGGCGCCCCCTTTTTGGGCTTGGTTTTTAGGATCGAGAAACCAAACAAGGGAGAAAGCCGAAGGAATTTTCTTTTGTGGGGGGTCCAACCCATGAAAAAACGACACTGAGTTGGAACCCACGCCCTCCAAAGCCACGAGTTTCGACCGACTTCGCCAGGCCTATGGCTTCCCCAGCGCAGGCGGATGGCTCCGCGAAGTGGGCGAAGGGTACCTGAGCAAAACCAGCAAAACCATGTATTGTCCAGTAAAAGCAAGCCTGGTTTTGCAAGCCTGAGTAAAGTAAAGCAAACAAGCAAGGGCACCTGATATTAGAATAGTCGAGTAGTCGATCCCCAAAACCATGTAAAGAATTTAAGGCGGATATCCGCAGCCATGAACAAGCTTCTAATCACCCGAGGTTTGATTGTGACTCGCCTGAACCCCGGGGTTGGGGTTCAAAACCCCCCAATCCAAACCAGTTCAGTACCTGAGGTTTGTTTTCTGAGGGACCCCCAAAAAAGAAATGGTGCGGTGTCCTTTTGCTTTCTCTTTGCTTTTTGCTTTTCTTTCGCTTTGCTTTCGCTTTGCTTTCCCTTTCAAGCAGCCAAACAACTGCTCAAGACCCCGCACAGCTAACACCCAGCTCTAGGGAGAACAGCTGTGAGTTGCATCCAATGCGTTGGCCTTTTGATGCTGGGCTTCGACAGATCCAGGCTGGAAGCGCTTGTGGGCGAAGCATGTTGGCCTTGGCCGGACCTGTCTTTTCGCTTTGCAGTTCCGCAGGCAGCTTCGTGGCGGAGCCTTTCAGGGAAGGCGGGTCCGGCTTCACCCGGGTGGCATGTATGTGCCTTCATTTGGCCATGAGTTCAATGGAGACACAACTGCAAAAGCGGTTGTACCCCATGTGAATGATATCCATTAAAAGGTCCCAACAAAATCCATCCCCACTTCTGTGATGTTTCATGCTCGAAGGGCGCAGGATCACTGGGGAGCAAGCCGACTTGGCTCGCTTTTTCGCTTTAGAGCGAGCGAGGCAGTGGCAGGTCTCTCACTGTGGAATCTTTGGGGAGAGCGAGCGAGGCAGTGGCAGGTCTCTTACTGTGGAATCTTTGGGGTGCTTGGACTGACGGACCTGTATTTCTTGTGTCCTGTTTGCTGTTCCAGGGTTTGGTTCTCCATCGTTTGCAGGACGAAGTACTGTTTGCAGCTTGCAGGACAGCTCTATATCTTTGGCTTTAGGAATGCAAGTCTTTTCGCCTTGTAAGATACACATGTGAGGATGTCAGAGATCAATATCGACTCATAGGAGCGAGCTTGCGAGTGGCCGATTTCCAGGCGTTCCGAGCTACCCACCCAGTCAGTCCTCTTATCCGAGTGCGCCGGACAGGCAGGTGTCTTTTCCAGGGCTTGCGGGGACTGCACCGGTCTTGCCTGCGCAGTCCAGCATTTGTGTGGGCTAGCAGAATTTGAAAACAAGTCGGTGCAACTTGTTGCGCGCACCTTCGGTGTTTTTGACTTGATGATGGGGTGCCCTTTGGGCATCGTGCTGCTGACGCCATGTTGTTCCGAGGCTTGCTCAGGAAGTCAGCTTCAGACCTTCAAACGAGCAAGAGCCAGCAGTCTTGTGCATTCCTTTCAATTGAGAACGCTTCTTCGCCATCCGACGCTTCTCATCCACCTATTCTTGGCAACATGCAAGTGAGGCGACAGGCGACAGGACTTGGCGTCCCTGCACACTTTTAGGGCGCATTTAGAAAGTTGGGTACGTCCTGCTTGGACTGTACCCCTTTTTTGGGTTGCTTTGAAGGCAAACCGGGGGGGGGACATCCACCATTTTTGGGGTCCTATATTTCAAGACACACCCAGCTATACCCCAGGCGGCCATTGAAGATAGCAAGTCCTACTCTGACAGCCAAGGGGGGGTTCCGTCCCAGCCCCAGGGCTCTCCGGGATACTGCGAACTTGCTAGATCTTCAGAGGCAATTTCGAAGTCATCGAAGCGTGCAATTAGATGTATACAGTCATGCCATGCTCAGTCATACAGGTGGTTCTGCTTGTTAATTTGGCACTAATGGTCTCAAGAAGCCTTCAACCTGACAACTCAACAAGGAGAGGAGCGCGCATACACCCGTGATATCAACGCGTTGCTCGAAGCGTCGTATGCGCAACGGTTGGGGGACAAAGAGACCGGGCGGTTTGCAGTTTGCAGGTCTCGCCTGGCTCGAGCGCAGCTTCTGGAGCCGGAGAGGTGAGGGAGCTTGTTCAGGTTGTGGACACCAAATGGGCTTTACCTCAGGCTTTGGTGCCTTGATGGAGTTGGTGAAGGAAAAGAAAAAGACCCTGCAGCTCAGCATGAGCAGCATGAGCTTCTTGTTGAACCAGTAGGTAGGAGCATGGATTATGACTATTCCTCAGCAACTTTGAGCATATCGAAATCATAGGATAAGGACCAAGTCAGATTTGTATGGAGAAACAGAACATCCTGGAGTTCCCGTTTTGTGTTACAACTGCTTTGTATGCTATGTCTACACCAGCTTGTGAGGGCGTGGTCCCATTCACCGCACTCTCGGTTGGTTTTGCTACTGGATACAAGGTCAAGGCCAGGCCCTTTAGAAGGTAGAATCCAGTGAATGCGTTGGAGATGGTCCTCAGGTCAATCAATGAGTTTACCAGAATTCCCACTCAACGTGTCAGGGTTTCCCGAGCTGTCCTCAGAGGTTGGTCATATTTGGACAGTGGGGCCGAAACATGTCCATTTCTGTGCTGCGCGCACGTGGGTTTGTCTCAAAATCGGGGGACACAAAATTGCTGCTTCTTAGTTTGTCTTTTGGTTTCCCCTCAAAACCAACCAAAAGGGATTGCCCAACAAATGCACTCAGGTAGGTTTACCTTGTTAGGACCTGCAGCCAGTGCCTTTGTGGCCTGTGATGTGGGTGTGTTCCCCCAAAATGATAGGTGTCCTCGTGGTTTCCCTTTGAAACCACCCCCCCGGCCCAATGCAAACATTATCGAGCCTCAAAAAACGACGAGCCACCCATGTCATCCCTCCAGGTATGAGCTGCCTCGAGCCGGCACAGGTGCGGAAGGCCAGGTGACTTGGGTCGCTCAACCACATTTACTTTATCAATGTGGGCATGAATTTTAACTAGGGACCCTTTGGTGTACATCAGATTTGCGAGCCTGAATGTTTGCATTTGGTCGCTGTTGTGTAGGGGTGTGTTGACTCGATTGCAGAGGTCATTTGGCTTCCCCTTGCCACGCCCATGCGTGAAGGTCAATGCGCCCCCTGGTTCACCCAGACAAGGTAACCCTTTGCCTCGATCTGCAAGCCCGGACTGCTCACACCCATACAGACCTTGTCCTCAGGCTCATCTGCATGCCAGCGCAGTCACAGCGCCTTGACGCACATTGCCCGACTGTCCGCGCTTCGGGTTCAGCAGGTCTCGGCTTCTGCCGCGCAACAGCAGGGCTCACTGCTACAGAAACAGCTCCAAGTGTGGCGATCATCATGCTTGCCGACTGCAACTCTTCCTTGTTCGGCAACGAGTCGAGCGCATCAAGCAGGAGGTGGCGTATTTTTCTCCCTTCATCCACGATTCAGAGGCGTTGCTGCATGTGGCGGCATAGGCAGTTCGCAGATGCGCGTGGTTCTCTAGCTACGACCCCCCGTCAGCCTTACTGTTTGGTTTTTTGGCATCTCACCCGTCGAAGCTGCAGCAATCTTCGGCTTTGTGTGTCAAGTCTTTGCGACGCTGGAAAGCTGACAAGGCGGGGTTTAACAAAATTGCAGAGCTCCTTGCCAGCCACGCTGCTCACGCTTTTCGCGTGCCGGCAAATCCGCAAGTCTGCCAAGACGCGTTGAGATTACCGATGTCCTTCTGGGTTTTCCTGGAGCGCAGAGTTGTGGATGAGGCGGTGCCCCCAGCCCGCAGACACATTGCACCATTTTCCTCCAGGTGGATTGGTGCTCGTTGAGCGTTGCGGATGCCCAACGCTGCTCACCTACATCTGCAGCAAAATAAGATCTGGGGCGTTTGCCGCCGAATAACTACCAGAGGGCAGCATTTTGCTTGAGTCGCCTTTGGTTTGCTGGCGAAGGGGCATTCCTTTTCCAAACGGTGCAATCCTCGTGTAGTTCCCCAGCGGAGGACTACCTCTGCGCGTCCAAAGCACGACGATGCGCCGAAGACCTGCGACACGGTTTCAGGCTCTCCTGTCACTGTGCCGCGCTCGTTCATGCCAGAGTTTGCGCAAGGGGGTCACTCAATGTCAAGTGTTAGCTTGTAATCCGGAATGCGCTGGGTCCAAGCTGCTGGTGGCCAGTCGCACCGATTTGGTTCGGGGTCGTTCCGCCTTTGGTTGACGCGGGTTGCTGCGTACCATGCTCAGCAACTTGAGATGACCCACATCTCTGCTGGGAGCTGCGTCCGTGGCGCCGCAAGCTGCCGCGTATCTACAAGAGGGCTTCGCGTGGCAGCCAACCTTCCATGGTTTCCATGTTGCAGCCCGCGGCCATCCGCGCAGGGTTTGGCAGACGCTTTTGCGGCAGCGATGTTGCCGGCGCAGGCGAGATGTTTTGCCATGGACCCTTGCTGATGCGCTTGCGAACGTTTGTTGTATTTTAGTTTATTTTTACATTGTTTGACTTTTGCAGGTTTTAGCTCCACTCAGCTTGCCCTTCGTAGGTCAGGGGTTACATCTTCCAACAACGCTGGAGCTGCAGGGTTGTCCTGCAAATTGTTTGGCGTTGAAGGCTTGGGCGCGGATGGAGGCCGTGCGCCTCAGCAGCGTGTCACGCATGCCAGGGCAGGGCAACAGCGTCGCAGATGGCCTCAGTAGGCGCCACGCATGACATCGCGTGACCGTATTGCTGACTTTCGACGCACGCTTGACTTTCTCCCACTAGATGAGTCTTGGCCTTCGCCTCTATCTGCTCTCGCCGTCCGGGGATTGTTAGGGGGTAAAGCCCCCTCGGCCCGGCTTGTTGTCCTTTTCCGGCTGAAGGCGGATGACTGCCCGCGTTGGAGTGCTATGTTTCAAAGGCGTGTGAACAAAGTGCGTAGCACATATCGGCAGCACACTTTTGTTCACACGCCTCGAAGCATAGCATTGCGCGAAGCGCAGGCAGGCAGATCCTCCCAGGCCTCAGGCCTGCGCGGCCTCCCTCTTGCGCGAAGGCCGCCAACGTGAAACGGCATTAGCAGTGGCAAAGCAGGGCGCGGAGGGTGACGAGCAAAGGGTCTTTGGGCAGACATTCGAGCCAGATGGCCTCTGGAATTGAGTCAACGCCCCCCCCCCAGAAACAGCTACGGGGTCCCCGTTTGGATCCATCGATCATGAGCATACCCGCAGCATATCGGCAACGCGCGTGCTCATGATTGAGGGACCGAGGGCGCACGGGGATGTCGCGCGAGTTCGGCCGGATGGATGTCCACCTACTAGAATTCCCTGTTAAAGTTCATAGCAATATAGGCATCGTCAAAATAGGGACCTGGCTCCCAACAAAATTGCCTTTCAAATCAATCCCACATCTTCAACAATCACACACTCAAGACAGGTCAATCCTGACTCGTGCGACCATGAGATGGGCAGAGCTGGATTTGTAACATGTTGTTCGTGCAGTCAATGACAAACTGACGCCCGTCCCTTGGCGCGTCTTGGAAGAGCAACAACTGGCATAGGTCCATTGCTTGCTGGCCCATGCGAATATCCGCTGGGCGTTTCTCAAAAGGCAACATTGGTTCTACCAACCATGAAGGGGGTCCACCATGTGGAGATGGCAGTGATATGGCCTATTGCTTCAAGTGTTTCTGGAGCTAGACCCGCGCTGACATGCCCTCCAACTGCAATCCACACGGTCGCAAGTGCAGCTCAAGAAGCTCGCAGACGGGCCATACGGCAAAACTACAACATAAAGCACAGCTGCCATCCCCGCAGAGCTGACGATTTTGGGATCATCTCAGAGTCTCAAGTAGCATGGTAACAAGTGAACAACCCTGCTTCATCAGGGCTGTCCGCCTTTTTACAAGAAAGTTTGTCATGTCACATGGGCACGGGAAAAGACAGGAATTTGTGTTTTTGGTGCAGTTCGGGCAGGAACGTTTGCTGTTTACTTGCTACTGCTTGCGACCTTCCCTGCAATCAAGCGAGACCGGCACAAATCAATGTTGCAAAGCCAAGAACTTGCTGAAAGTATGCTGGCAGCGTTTGGGTATGTTTTTTTCCTGGGGGGACCCCGAAAAAATGGTGGTCCTCCTTTTGGTTTCCATTTGAAACCACCAACCAATGGGTACCCAGGACGAGGCACCCATTTGGCCCCCGACTGGAGGTGATGGCTTCAGCCCCTTCCGCGACCGGAGCCAGGGGCTCAGCAGCTGCTCGTTTTGTTTGTTTGTTTGTATTTTTGGTAGGCGCAAAACGGGTGGTTTTCCTTTGGGTTTCTGGCGGAAAAAAAAAGACAAAAACACACACACCCAATAGGAAGTTCGAACCAGGAAAAAAATGTTTTCCTTTGCGCGTCCCTTTAAAACAAACACAAAAAGAGGGTACTCTGACATGGAAAAGGGGTACCAACTTCAAAAAAAAACCAAAAAACACCCAACTCTAAAACAGACACACCCAATGCGAGCCGAGGGAAGTGAAGGTGAGGATGAACAAGACATCGAACCCCAATTCGCTTGCATCGTGAGACGAACGCCAGTGCAATCAGGGAGCCAGGACTGATCCATCCAAAAATAGGGTAGTGCATGGCGGCTTGTCTTTTTGGAGTTGGTACCCCATTGTTAACCAAAAGGAAAACGACACATACATACACACATTGTTTTTTGAAGAGCAGGTCAAAGCACTGCGTTTATGAGATTGGCTGTAAAGGATGACGACAGCAAGACCAGATATGCACTTGGGAATAATTCCTTACCTGAATTGAATCTATGATCGCTCTGGGCTTAGAGCAAGAATCTCGGAACAGGATCATCCACCTTGCTCTCAAGGTGGTTTTGTAGCATGTGATAGCATGACTCAAAGTGTAGCTGCTGAATGGCATACTTGGGCTGTGCATCAAGCAGACACATCCACCTTGGTATTCTTTAAGACAGCAATCATGCACCAAGTTGCCAGTGCTTGGCTGTTCTGCCTTCATGACCGGACCAAGTTTTCTTGGCAGCTTTACATGTTGGCTTTTGACATTTACCAAGGGATCCATATTTGAAGCGTATCCCATCAAGACCTGGAGGTCCTATGGCTGAGCGCGATCGTGCTGCCAGCGCGTTTATGGCGCCTACCCGACTCTGACCGTGTCAAGCAATTTTGCAGCTGCTTTCTTGTGTGTGTGTGTGTGTGCGCGCATGTATGCATGATTAGATCCGTGCATGTGAGCGCGCGAGGCACATGTCTCTATGTTTGTGTGCGCTTTGCTTGTCTGTGTCTGTTTTGTGCTGGATTGGAGTACGTTGGAGTATTCAATTGGTGGATTTGGGCTCATGGCCTTGATGGTGTGTGGGTTGGGGGTGGCCATTTATTTGTTTTCATCTCTCCAGCCCTTACTTGGGACCGCACGGTGACTGTTGCCATGCTGTGTTGGTCGGATGACATTGGAGGATTTTCAGAAGGTCTTTCTAATCGTTGCAAACACGTTTGCACATGTCGCAGAACTGACCCGAACCAGCGATGGCGCACAGATGTGTGTTTCGCACGACAGCCCGCATCGCTTCACGCACAGCAGCTGCCCCAAGCGTGTACACAGGTTGAGTGGCAATACCTGGTCACGGACCCTTCCCGATCCATGGTTGTTGAGAAGCCCCGAGGCAAGGAACGGACCTTACAGGCTTTAAGACGGCTGTGATAGGATTCTCGGGGAGGCTCTTTGAGCTTGCTTCATTCCTCACCATCATCGGCTGGAAAGCTGGATCTGACTGGGCTTGTCAACCACTGTAATGTGTGAGTGGTACTTTTGAACCCTTGAACATCTTTAAGGGCACATCCATCTTGGGTGTGTCTTTTTTTAGAGCATTTTCAAACTGGCGCAATGGTTTTCCTCTTGTTTTTCCATTGAACACCACCAACACAAAACGGAGGGTACCAACTCAACAAACAGACGCGCCACCCATCTTGACCAGCTTCTCCTTTTCCAGGTTTTGAGAGGCCCAACTGCCAGGCGCTCCATCGGGCCTTGGGCGCGGGGCCTCAGTGGACAAATGGCCTCTCGAGGTGGTTTGGTGGTTTCCTGGGCGGCATGTTCCAAACTCTTGGCTCAAGCTTTTACGCAGGGTAGACGCGAGATCAAGGGCCTTCTTCTCCTCAACGTGATTGCAATGGCAAAGGCAAGCAAGATGCTCGCAGTCGTGGCGGGTGTGGCGGCCTACTGCGGCTGGCAGGGCGCTTTCGTGCCACCCCCTGCTGGTCGACACGTGCCAATCGCCACTGCGGCCGGCGCTGCGGCCATGCTGGGCACAACGCCTGCTTACGCGGACAAGATCGATGATGCAGCCAAAGTTCTCTCAGAGAAGTCTTACCCATTCTTGAAGGAGATCGACTGGACTGATGGCGTCTATGGCGTTCTGCCCACCGCTAAGCCCTTGGAGGTGCTGAAGGCGATCGATTCGATGTTGGTCATGGGCGCTGCGATGGACCCGGAGGCTCTAAAGGCAGGAGTGTTGGCCCACAGCAAGGCGATCAACTCTGTGGACTCCAAGGGAGTTACAACTCTTGCCGACTACACAGCCACCAACGCCGCCATTGGCCACATGGTTGCGTCCGTGCCGGCCTCCAAGACCATGGACGTGTACAACGCCTTCAATGAGTTCAAGCTGGGAAATGATGTGGGCCCTTACATGATGTCCAAGGTGAACGCTGAGGACGCCAAGGCGGCCTACAAGGCATTCCTGGAGTTCAAGGATGTGGTGAAGGCCTCTCAGCGCTGAGCTGGGCCTTGCTCTTGGCATCTCTGGCGGCGTTGTGTGTGAGCGCTGCAGTTTGTACAGCCTCTTGGTAACTCTTTGCAAGCTGAGTCCGACCGGCTTGAGACCCGTTCCCAAGCATGCGGCGGATTTAGGCAATTCCAAACATTTTATCAAGGCACTCTGCCAATTTGTATATGCAGTGTGTTGGAAAAAAGCAGCTCTTGGTAACAAAAAAGCAACTCTTGGTGCAGAGGTTGAAAAGGGCGCGTTGGCGCTTGGATTTGGACAGACCTCATATTCGGCAAGTTTGCGTCCAAGACTGGATAAGGAAGCCATGGTAAAGAACAGGTTGAGTCAGGACAAGCGTAAACAAGAAATGGCTGAATGGAAAGTTCAGCCGAGATGAAGATGGCATCAACTCACAGACTCGGCAAACAGTCGCTGTTGGTTCAGATTCTGCTTGGCTGGACTCAAATGACATGTTCTCAAAGAGCAAATTGCGTAATCACGCAAGCGAGTTTGGTTCCAGGGATCACGTTTCTTAGTTCGATCTGGGGATGCTTTATGGGAGGGAGCACCACCAGCCACAGTTGTCAACATGCCCAAGCATCACATACTTCATGGCTGAAGGCTGAAGTCTGAAGGTGAGGGAGGGAGAGGAGAAAAGTTGTGAAAGACAGTCGGAGAACCGCAGAATCCGCATGTGTTTTCCGTTTATCTACAGCAGCATCGGCCTTGGAGGGCCTTAGATGCCTTCTATGGCGACGCGTCATGCATCATGCTTTTACATATGTTCTGTTCCGCCGAGCATTGGTGTTGTGTGTAGTCGATTGGTTCATGATCTTTGTTGCCAGGGCCCTCCGAGCCATCACATTCTTCAGTACTACAACGGCCTAGGTACGGCCGTGGTGACACCTATTCAGGCGAGAAGAAAAAACGAGAGGCTGATCTTACCCGGTAGGGATGCAGCGTGACTTTCGGAGACGTCCTGGGCAGAGCTCACTGCGATGCCCAGAGCTAGTTGGCAAGAGTTCAGAATTGACGGCTGAATGCTTGCCTGCTGTGGAGCTTCGGAGTGTAGGCTACGATTCTTTGTCTAGAGCCAGCAGTGCCATGAACGATGATGGCTCTTAAGTTTTTCTTGAGCTCAGAGGGCAATAATCAGACAGTAGGCATGTTGGTTTACGGAGTTTGCCTTGCCTGGGTCTTGGAATGTGTCGGTGTTTAGATGCTTGAAAGCTACTTGAAACTCCTTTGCAGTTGACCAGCAGTTTCCGTGTTTGAATTCAGCCCATTTCCCAATCACAGGCATTGCCAACTTCTATTTTGCTGTTGGATGGACTTAGCTAGAACTCGAGCTCCTATAGCTCCTGACATTGCCAGGTGGCACTATGTCAGTGGGACCGCCACCTAGCAGATGTGCGAATCCCAGAATTTGAGCTGTTGTTGTTACTCTGCCATGAAGTGCCGTTTGGTTGCCGCTCTCCAAGGTGGCAGCTACAGCCCAGGCTATGCCATGCCCACGTGCCCATTTGTCGAAGATTTGGCTATACTTTTTGCCGAGTTGGCGCCTGATGCTCGTGTTTGAAATTGTCAAGTCGGATGCCACGGATATCCGCCATGACGCTTGCCGTTTCTCGATACGAAGGGCACTGAGCTGCTGATTCACGCCAATGACTGACAAACCAGCAAACGAGTAGGGTACATTGCCAAACCATACCGTGGGGCATTAGTTTTGTACCCACGAAAGCAGTTGCTAGTTTGGGGAAAGCGATAGCCCGGCCGCGCAGCTTTTTGGCTGCCCATTAGTCAAGGGATCGACAATGAGGCGGGGTTTTGAGTCCTCAAAGCTGATAGCCGAAGCTGGTGGCAGAAAGGGTCCATTCAGGCATGACCTTTGCGCATGCAACGAGAAAGAGCATGTCTAGATGGAATATACTGAGCACAAAAGGATGTGCCACAAGATTCGTCAGATATGGGGCCACAGCATGCGATGTTTGAGAGTATTTATTTGATTGGTCCCGGTGTGCTGGCCAAGGTGGCTGAATAATGCACCAAGAATCTGCTTCTATGATCCTGACTCAATTTAGTTTTCACGTACAGTACCCTATTCCAGTTTTTGAGGCCAGTATGGCTGTGTCTTTTTTGATGGACCCGCAAGATGTTTTTTTTTTTTGTTGGTTCCTTTTAAAACCATCCCAGAAAGGGCAAATGACAGACCCGAATGGCTTTTTGCCCCGGTCCGTCCTGCCAGGCCGTTCTTTACGACGCCGCTGGCTGCGCTTTCAGCTGCTTACTTGACGTGGATGGTCATGGAGAAGCAACCAGGAGCTCAGTGCAAGTGCCGCTGCAAGGGATCATTGTTTCAAAATACCCCGAAACCACCTGAGATGCGCTAAACAGCCTTCTGTTTATGCTCGAAACCCAATACTTTGTATCACAGTGCCGGCCATGCTGGATGTATCCAAAGTGTACCACCCCGTCAGCTGAAACCCAATGGTTGGCGAATGACTTCTACATCTGCACGCCTTGAGAAACCGTGCTTTGCCCTGGCCCTCGATCGGACTGGAGCAAAGCCAAAGGCTCTCCTTCTTTTGGGTGCACTTCAGAGGGGGATCCTTGAACAAATTGGGCGTTCCCTGAGATTCGGAGCACGCCAAGTTAAGGTTGGTGACGCTGGCCGGAAGTGACGTGGGTTCCTTTGGTTGTGACACCATGGCTGCCGTGTTTCAAGGGCAATACACTTCGGGCCTGTTTCGGAGCTAATTATGTTGCAACTGAACGCAGCACGACCTTGACATGTTCAAGTATACAGGGATTCTACGACGCATGTTCCTAAATCATGGCCTCGCATGCACCAAGCAGTACAAGGATTTGGTAATATGTATGCACTTTGGGTCATCCAAGCCACCTTGCAGCGCTCACTCTGGAAGGGGCAGGCCCGGAACCAGATGTACATTTGCCCGGTGAGCCGGCGCCTTCGTTGCCAGCGGCAACGTGCGACGTGCAAACCGAGCAGCCTGAGAAGCGGGATGAGCACCTCGGACAGAAGCCGTCAGGTGCGAATGGAAACCTGTAGGCTATGAAGGCCCCATCCAAAATGTTCGGCAAGCATCACCTCCCAATGTAAATGATGCCCAGCAAAGGTTCTCAAGAACTCATTCGCACGTTTCGTAGCGACAACACGACATGGCTTTTGCAACTCCAACACATTGCTCAGCCATTTAACTTGCGCATTGTCCTTGGACTGCTAGTGTGAGGCAGAATTGCTCTGCGCCTGGAGGTCAACAGCCGATGAGTCGTTGCAAATCTCATCACTGTAACATGCGCCATGGTAAGGGAATGCCGCATACCTGACAGGAAGGGAAATCAACAACCACTGTCAGGCCCCCCCGATGGCCGGTAATTGGCGCCCCGGGTGAAGCGCCGGCAATAGACCAGCACTTGCTTAAAAATGGTTTTGTAGTCACATATAAGTTTTTGCCATCATCAAAGTGCAGTGAAAAGTCACTTTTGTTGAAACGTCACTTCAGGATACTAGAGGGGGTCCAATTGAGGGGTTGGGCTGGCATGTATGATCATTGCACATGCAACGCGCCGGGGGGGGGGGGGGGACACGCTGGTGACACGCTCATATCTCAAAAAATTGACCGTTCAACGTACATGTGCCGGACATTGGCCACCCCCCGACACGCCGTGATACGCTGTGACACGCTCCTCAAGAACCCCTCCCAACCTCAAACTTGCCCTCCAAACCTCAAATTTGCTGCTCTCCCCTGGACTCCAAAAAGCCAACGGGGGGGGGGGGGGTTGATGACATCCGATATCATCTTTTGGAGCTAGCAGAGGGGTCTGGCTGTTTGGCCTCGAACTCTTGAAGTGCAAAAGAGATGGCCCTGCTTCTCCATGTGACTGAGTGGCTGGTGGGATAAACCCGCGACTTCTGAGTTCTGCCTTAAGATATCCATCCGATTGCTTGAGGTTTCAGGAGCTCGTGCTATCCGGGAGGAGAAGCTGGGCCATTCTGCAGGAGAAGTGATGAGGCAGTCCCTTGCAGCTTCGGTGCCCCTGGCGTTTTCGGAAGCCTAGACACCGGATGACCCAACCATATGCTTGCCAGTTTCTCGGCTAGGGCAACTCTTCTTGCCGAGCAGGATCAATGGCCGGGTCCATCAATTATTTGACACCCCAAAAAGGGACTAAAGAACCAAGGACGATGTGGACTGAAGAAGACCATGCTCAGCCACTTTCCATGACACTCTTCCAGAGTCCAGACTCTAGGTGCGGCAGGTTACTTCCACTCACGAGGCAGAATGGTAGAAACGCTGTTTAGTTCACGAGCATGTCCAACAAAAGCACTGCACTGCTTTCAACATGTTGGGAAAATGTCGCTCATCTTATGAGATGAGTTGCCTTAACCTCTGTCGGTGCTCGCAGTGATCACTCCGCTTTTGCCACGCTGTAGCCAACACCCAGAGAAGCGATGGAGACAGCGGTGCTTGTTGCTGGGAACAGCAAGTTTGGTGTTTGGTGGTGTTGAATGAAACGTGAATGGACACACCTGGCAACAAGCTGTCTCCACTGGGGGTCTTGCCCACAACACCCCGATCAACCCCGAACTAGGTTTGTTCATATTCCAAAAATGTTTGCTGATCAGTTTGGCGAGTAGCTGCGCATCGTAACTGGCTTGCCGGCGATGTGGGTATGTCTCGTCTTATTCGAGTTCCAGAGGTGTTCTTTCAATGTCCCTTCTCCGAGAGTTCGGTTTGGCACGTAGGACCTGGGCTGCTTTGCCCTCTATTCCACCGCGGAGAAGATTTGGCCTTGGCCTTTGGACTTCAACGGCACAGAGCCGCGGCGAGAAGTTTCAAGGGCCGGTGGTTGGAAGATTTGGTTTGCGACAATTGGCCCATCGTTGGAAAAGAGCAGAGGACAATTCGGGAAAAAGCCTGGGCTCAGGAATTTGGTTACAGATAGTTGGTTTGCGAAAAGAAAGAGGATCTGGTGCCGATGCCGTCGCCACAAAGGAGCCACAGCGCACTGTGGAGCTCCATTATTGCAAGCAATATTTCAATGACGGCAAGTCGGCTGTCTCTAAGATTTCAATATGTTGGACTAGATCAAATCAGGGAGCAACAGTGTCACTCTTGCGGCGGAGCGGCAGGGTGCTATGCTACGTTGCACAATTACCTTTTCCCAAGAACCAGCATGCCCACTGACGCATTTTGTGCAGTCCACGTTGCTGTGTCAATCGCGCTTTTTTGCGTGCCCCAAGATCGCGGATCGTTCCAAGTAGAAACTGTGAGTGTTTGTTTGTTGCTTTGGATATGCTGGAGACAGTTCTAGCAATGCCTCTAACTGAAGGTTCTTGGTTGAGCTCTGGAATGTTGTATGTCTTGTTCCTTGAGCAGACAGACACAAATCTGTGAATAGGAGTGTGCCCAGGACGCGGGAATTGCTTGGTTGGGCCTTTGACTAGCTGAGAGGCTGTCCGACAAACTTGCAGGGAGGCCACTGTGTTAGTTGATGAGTTTGTTGTGTGTTCCTGGTTATTGGCCAGTCAGGGTGAGCGCATGCTCAAATGCTGTAACAGCACTAGAATTGCTGGTTCAACTTGTCTGGCTCCGATGGGGTGCCAACTTCCGATGGGATGCATCCGACCTGTGGTGGCGCTCACGGTCGTAGCTGCCATGTGGGCTTCAAAGGCACAATCACACAGGCTTCCTAAAATATCTCTAGGATTTGTGAACAGTGGAGTGTGAGCATTTCAACCAAAGATGCCTGCTTGGCATTTGTTTCCATACTCATGATGAGGAGAACACAGGCCGCCTATTGATTTGGGCAGGTGGGCGGGATTGTATTATTTCCTCAGGCATTGTCCCTTACAGACTTGGCAAGGCGATTGTTGTCATCGTCTACAATTGCACACAGCCGCACTCACCTGCATGCACGCACGCACCCGCACACGCACGCTCACGAGCAAATGGACAGACCCAGGTGAGGCTTGCACTTGTCACAATCATCCGGCCTATGCCTTGAGGAGCTGGTGCAAGATCAGCTGGCACACTTGCCTCTGCAGGAGCTGCGAGAGGCCGCCGAGGCCAGTCTCAGACCGCTTCACGCAATCTGGACAGCTGCCTGGGTGTTTGGTTGGGGTCTTAACTAGTGAGTTGGTAGTGACGCAGTCCCCCGAAGTGGTGTTAACAACATAGGATGCTTGGTGGGATATTGCTACGCTGGCGGCTAGCCGCGTATTGACCTGCGCGAACATCCAAGTAGAGCTGCATGCACTTAGCTTCTGAGTGCCCTTAAAAACAGAGCTCCGAGAGCGCGGATTCGAGAACAAGTCGGGGGGCATCGGGAGGCTGGGGGAGCGGCACCTGGATGTACCACTCTGGCTGTGGCTATCCTTATCGCCGGCCAATGTGCAAATGCAAGGCTAGTTCTGTTTGACCAGTTTTGCTGCAACAGATCTGCTTAGGCTAGAGGCAAGAGGTCTCCTTCGCAGCATTTGTGACTTCGCTCCCCATCATTCCTGCGTCCCTTGCCTTGACAATGTGGGGGCACCCCTTTACTTGTCCGTTTGTCAAACGTGCTTTGGACTATGAAATGATGTTTCCACGTTTCAGCTAATTACTAGGGTCTTGAAAAGGATTCCAAAAGAACATTTGAAACTCTAGAGTTGATCAGTTACCAGGTCTCATCAACATTCATGATGCTTTTTGTGGAGCAGATCTGGTGTGTGTTCATTTGGGATCCTTTCAGGGCCAGTATGGAGCCCGCCGCCAACTTGTTCTCTCGGCTCTCGGACCCAGTCTATCCCTCTCGATGCTAAAGCAAGGACTCGCAACGCTTGAGATTCTTCGCGTCAGATAGCTTCCGCGTTTATGGTCGATGTTTACTTTTACTCATCCACCTTGAAGGGCGATGGGCTTGGGGACCTTTTCAGCTCCCGTTGGCAGCGAACATGTGCCCCTGCCATCCCAAAAGGCCGTGTCCAACGGAGGTTGCAGATGTCAGTTTGAAACGGTCTTCCCTCCAGGGTCAACTCACCCTTGGAGGGGAACCTCTGAATATCTCCCAACCAAAACATGTTGCAGCTTCTCCTCGCACATTAAGAGCTGGTTTCACTAGCTTCACTAGTTTCACGGTTCCCCAAATCTTCCCTTCAGTCAACCAGTGCGCGTTTTGCCGGAGCTCCCTTTTTTCGCGCTTCCAAAACAGGGCTGTTAAGCCCTAAACCCACCTCACATACCAATCCCAAACTCGGCATAAACCAACCCACCGACCACTCCTAAACCCTGCACCCACCAGCCCTGCCTCCCACGTCGACGGCTGCCGCGCGGCAGGCAGCGCGCCACGGGGTCTCCGAGCTACTGGCCCCGCTGGCGGAGGCGGCGGCGCCCCTGCTGCAGGAGCTGCGACAGACGAGCGGCAAGGCGCGGGGCGCGGCGGACCGCCTTTGATGCGTTTTCGAAATCCAAACATCGCGCCGTTCAGAAAACCAGCGGAATGATATGCCAATATATTCCCCTGTACATAGCAAAGAAACCTGGTTTCAAAACCATGGCTTCAAAGTGGTGCGAAGTTGATTTCGTCCATCCATTGATTAGCTGGTACAAGGAAAACCAAAAGACCGCAGCCATGAAGAAACGTGGTCTCCACTTCCTTTGCCTAATGCCTTGTCCTTTACCTTCAGCAAAGCAGTGAGGCAGAAAGCAGACCATGGCAAGGGATTTGAAAAAGAAGAGAGAGGATGGAAGAGGTGTTCTGGATGATTCGGGTGTCAACCTATCCTTACCTGCAATTTGAACTTGCTCAGGGAAAATGCGCGCCAGGCAGTCAATCTGTAAGTGCCCACACCGGCCCCAAGTCCCAATCATTTGGTCAAATGAGAAGGACACCTCAAATGGAGGCTTATTTTTCTTGTTAAATCTTAGAAGGACAATTCTGACTTAAATGTCTGGCTTCTTTGCTTGTTGACAAAACTGTAGAAGGACAATTCAACTGCCCGGCTTTGTGATATTCCTCATCTTTTGCTTGCTAGTCCCGTCTTTTTGCTTAGGCATTTCATGACTTCATGGAGACCTTCCTGGAAGCGTATCCGCAGCACCGGGCGAGTCTGAAAGGACCTCTTGAGACGGTGCTCGACGATTGGGGCGCGGGCTGGAACCTGGTACATGGAAACGATCAAAAAACTGCGGTCCCCTGGTGCTTCAATTCTGACCCACACCCAAATGGCTTTCGGCTTTCCTGTCTCACCTGTAAACCAAGGGACATAAGAAACCGGGCCTCAAAAAAACCATTTGGGTATCTATTTTTGATCCACACCCGTTTGGGTCCAAATCTCGGAAAAAACCGAGAAAAAAAAAAAAAACACCGAGCCGCTCGCCCCCGAAATGGAGCCGACTGGATCGATCCGACACGCCAAGGAGTCCATCCAGGTCTGTTGGTGGGAGCGGCCATTCTGCTGCTGGCGGACGTCTTCATGGTGTGGCAGCGCCTCGGATCTCGGATTGGAAGAGTGGGACACATGGGTGGCTCGTTTCTTTTTTCAGGGTACCCCCTGTTGGTTGGTTCTAAATGGAAATCATAAGGAAACAACAATGTCTTTTCTCTTTTTTTTGGGGGGCGGGGGAGCGGCCTCTAAAAAAGCGAACGTGAAGATCATCTCACAGTGACCCATATCAGAAGCTGTCCTTGCCAGATCCTTGAGAAGGCTCGTGCAACTCTGTAAGCCGGTTTGCAGGAAGAATGCTCTTGTGCCTGATCAGCATATTGCATTTTGAGCGGTCTCCAAAGACAAGATCATCATCCTTCAACTGCCCACATGAGAGGTGAGGTATGCATGTGGTCGCAGTGGATTCACTCGGAGACCCCCGCTATTTTATCCCATCTGGGAAGCGCGAGTATGAGGCTGTGCTTCATCTCCTGCCGCTTTTGCCTGAGATGCTGCAGATGCTGCCGTGGCAAGCCTAGCAAAGGCCGCTGAGGGGGAACCTTGGCCTGGGCAAGGTTCAGCTAGCCGCGGGCAGGTGCCCTGGCTGATGTCAGTGCCCATGATATGGAAGGCCGAGCTGGCCTTGTTGAAGCTGCAGTTTCAGCTTGCGTTGTCCTGTCCGGAGTTGCTTGTGAGCACTGTTAGCAATGGCTGGGACCTGAAAACATCTTGAATCTGTTCCGAGGTACAGTTCTGCCTGAGGCGATGCGAGGGGGGGGGGGGGGACCACACCTTTGCGGCAGAGCAAAACAAGGGCGGGGCTAGCGTGCTGGCAAGGCCAACGCCATTTATCCGAGGCCAAGAATCTGTGAGCTTCAAGGTCACCCTTCAAAAATTGGGGAGATGATTTCCAAAAGCTGGTCGTCGCTGCAGAAAACCGTACCCCATAGCCCTCATTTTTGGGATGGTCTCAAAATTTGTCCACCTCATCTGCCTCAGAAACATCCCGAGAGGGGCGCCGAAGCTTCCGACAGAATATCTGCACCTCGGGCAGGGAGGGTACCAAACCCCACGCAGGTACGCGCTGCCCAGCGCCAGCAGCTTCGTGGCAGAGCCCTTTGCGCCGGGCGCGCCGAGCCTGAGGCAGGGCCAAGGCCCTTGAAGATTGGTTGTGGTTGGTTGGTTGGTTGGTTGGCTGGCCGGGTGGCTGGGTGGCTTGGCTGGCTGGGTGGCTGGGTGGCTGGCTGGCTGGCTAGCTGGCTGGCTGGCTGGCTGGTTGGTTGGTTGGCTGGTTGGTGTGTTGGTTGGTTGGTTGTGCTTGGTTGTGCTTGGTTGTGCTTGGTTGTGCTTGGTTGTGCTTGGTTGTGCTTGGTTGTGCTTGGTTGTGCTTGGTTGGTTGTGGTTGGTTGGGGTCGGTTGGGGTCGGTTGGTTGGTTGGTTGGTTGGCTGGCTGGGTGGCTGGGTGGCTGGCTGGCTGGGTGGCTGGGTGGCTGGCTGGCTGGCTGGCTGGTTGGTTGGTTGGCTGGTTGGTGTGTTGGTTGGTTGGTTGTGCTTGGTTGTGCTTGGTTGTGCTTGGTTGTGCTTGGTTGTGCTTGGTTGTGCTTGGTTGTGCTTGGTTGTGCTTGGTTGTGCTTGGTTGTGCGGTTGGGGGGTTGGTTGGCTGGCTGGGTGGCTGGCTGGCTGGCTGGCTGGGTGGCTGGGTGGCTGGCTGGCTGGCTGGCTGGCTGGTTGGTTGGTTGGCTGGTTGGTGTGTTGGTTGGTTGGTTGTGCTTGGTTGTGCTTGGTTGTGCTTGGTTGTGCTTGGTTGTGCTTGGTTGTGCTTGGTTGGTTGTGGTTGGTTGGGGTCGGTTGGGGTCGGTTGGGGTCGGTTGGTTGTTTGGTTGGTTGGCTGGCTGGGTGGCTGGGTGGCTGGCTGGCTGGCTGGCTGGGTGGCTGGGTTGCTGGGTGGCTGGCTGGCTGGTTGGTTGGTTGGCTGGTTGGTGTGTTGGTTGGTTGGTTGTGCTTGGTTGTGCTTGGTTGTGCTTGGTTGGTTGTGGTTGGTTGGGGTCGGTTGGGGTCGGTTGGGGTCGGTTGGTTGGTTGGTTGGTTGGCTGGCTGGGTGGCTGGGTGGCTGGCTGGCTGGCTGGCTGGTTGGTTGGTTGGCTGGTTGGTGTGTTGGTTGGTTGGTTGTGCTTGGTTGTGCTTGGTTGTGCTTGGTTGTGCTTGGTTGTGCTTGGTTGTGCTTGGTTTGGTTGTGCTTGGTTGTGCTTGGTTGTGTTGGTTGCTTGGTTGTGCTTGGTTGTGGGTGGTTTGGTTGGTTGGTTGTTGGTTGGTTGGTTGGTTGGTTGGTTGTTTGTTTGCTTGGTTGCTTGCTTTTGCTTTTTGCTTGCTTGCTTGCTTGCTTGCTTGCTTGCTTGCTTGCTTGCTTGCTTGCTTGCTTGCTTGCTTGCTTGCTTGCTTGCTTGCTTGCTTGCTTGCTTGCTTGCTTGCTTGCTTGCTTGCTTGCTTGCTTGCTTGCTTGCTTGCTTGCTTGCTTGCTTGCTTGCTTGCTTGCTTGCTTGCTTGCTTGCTTGCTTGCTTGCTTGCTTGCTAAGGTGGATGGTTGGTGGTTGGTTGGTTGGTTGGTTGTGGGTGGTTGGTTGTGGTGTGTTGGTTGTGGTGTGTTGGTTGGTTGGTTGGTCGGTTGGTGGGTTGGTCGGTTGCTTGCTTTGCTTGCTTGCTTGCTTGCTTGCTTGCTTGCTTGCTTGCTTGGTTGCAAAGGTGGTTGGTTGGTGGTTGGTTGTGGTTGGTTGTGGTTGATTGGAGTTAGTTTGTTGGTTGCTTGCTTGCTTGCTTGCTTGCTTGGTTGGTTGGTTGGTTGGTTGGTTGGTTGGGGTTGGTTGTGGTTGGTTGTGGTTTGTTGTGGTTGGTTGTGGTTGGTTGTGGGTGGTTGTGGGTGGTTGTGGTTGGTTGGTGGTTGGTTGAGGTTGGTTGCGGTTGGTTGCGGTTGGTTGCGGTTGGTTGGTTGCGGTCGGTCGGTCGGTCGGTCGGTCGGTCGGTTGGTTGGTTGTGCTTGGTTGGTTGGTTGGTTGGTTGGGCTTGGTTTGGTTTGGTTTGGTTTGGTTTGGTTTGTTTGGTTTGGTTGGTTTGGTTGGTTGGTTGGTTGTGGTTGGTTGGTTGTGGTTGTGGTTGGTTGTGGTTGTTGGTTGGTTGGTTGGTTGGTTGGTTGGTTGGTTGGTTTGCTGGTTGTGGTTGGTTGGTTGGTTGGTTGGTTGGTTGGTTGGTTGGTTGGTTGGTTGGTTGGTTGGTTGGTTGTGGTTGTGGTTGTGGTTGTGGTTGTGGTTGCGGTTGCGGTTGCGGTTGTGCTTGTGTTTGTGGTTGTGGTTGTGGTTGTGGTTGGTTGGTTGGTTGGTTGGTTGGTTGGTTGGTTGTGCGGTTGTGCGGTTGGTTGGTTGGTTGGTTGGTTGGTTGGTTGGTTGGTTGGGTGGTTGGTTGGTTGGTTGGTTGGTTGGTTGTGCTTTGTTGGTTGGTTGGTTGGTTGGTTGGCTGGCTGGTTGGTTGGTTGGTTGGTTGGTTGGTTGGTGTGTTGGTTGGTTGTTTGTGCTTGGTTGTGCTTGGTTGTGCTTGGTTGTGGTTGTGGTTGTGCTTGGTTGTGGTTGGTTGGTTGCGGTTGGTTGGTTGGTTGGTTGGTTGGTCGGTTGGTTGGCTGGCTGGCTGGCTGGCTGGCTGGCTGGTTGGTTGGTTGGTTGGTTGGTTGGTTGGTTGGTGGTTGTGGTTGACTGGTGTTGCTTGTGCTTGTTTGTGGCAGGTTTCTTGTGGTTGCTTGGTGGTTCGTTTTGGTTGGCGTGGTTGTTATTTCCCCAGGGATTAGCGTAGACTTGCGATTGATTTCCTAGTCAGAGGAACCCTAGGCCCTGAACTAGATATCGTGTCCTGACTAAAGTGGAACATGGGCTGGTTGTACTTGGTAAACTCCAGTCACTTGTTTTGCTGATTACATGGGGTATACCCAGTACCAGTGGTAGACGAGAACTGTTGGCACCAAAGAACCCTAACAGAGAAGGTGTTTGCACCAGTCACGCGATTTGTCGCAAACAGCGTTGATTGACCATCATGCTAGAACCAGGAACCATGTGTGGGGCTGCATTTTTTTGAGAGACCCATTTGGGTGGGAAACCGAAGAAAAAAACGCACGTTTTGTGGTTTGGCCAAACAGCTTTGCGAGTTTGCATGCGTCAGCCCGGTCAGGCCAGCTGTGCTACCTCTGCCTGGCAGCTACGGAGGCGTAAGCAAGTTTCTGCGTTCGGAGCTGGAGATTGCAACATTGGCTCACGTTTGGTGGGTTGTTGCGCGTCCACAGAGATAGCGTTGGATCCTCTAGAATATGACACAATGGAACAGTTGCCAATACGCCAAGACCTCATGTGGCATTGCCAATTCTATTGCTGTTCTTCAAAGATGGACTGGCACGTGCCCGAAAGCAAAGGACAGAGATTTTGCAAATTGTGCTGGACTTGTGCTGCTGAAAATTTTGGACTTTTGAGCAGTTGCAACATGCACTACTTTTCTGAAAACATTTCAAGCTGGAGCTGTGCTTTGGCGTACTTCGCATACTGCGTACTCACAGCTTTGGTGTTTTTTCGAGTGGGGGAACGATATGGGGCTAAATGGTTGCGGGTAAAAGAGGCTCTGACGGAGGCTCATGTGGGTGTGTGTCTTTTTAGGGGACCCAAATTGATGGTTCTCATTGTCATTGTGGTTTCCCTTTGAAACCACCAAAAGCGGGGTACCCTCAAAAAAGGACACACCCATATCTGTTCAGTAGTTGGAGGCATGCGTCGTGCCCTCTCTCTTTGCGCCAGCTTGCTCGTTCCTGTGTCATGCATGTGAGATTTGCAGAAAGCATGCTTCGGGTAAAGGTTGCAGACTGTCTAGATTTGTAGCAATAGCTTTTGCACTTCCTTCTTCGAAGGCCTAGGTGCATGAAATATGAAGCCAAGCAAACTATAATCTGCTCACAACTCGCATGTTCTTTGCAGGGTCTAGCCTCAATTCCCACGAATAGCGCAATTTGAACACTGCTCATGTTCAGTGTCGGGCGGCCTGCGATCTTTCTTCTTGAGTTTGCAAAATTTCAAGAAACGGTGAGTACTTCAGCACATATGCTTTCCAGGTTGGTTTGGTGGGCACAGTTCCCAAACAAACTAAACCGAAATGCCCATGTGATTCGCATGCAGGCAGCGGTCTTGGCCTGGGCATCGACCCCCTGGAAGGCTATGGCGCAGGCGTCTTGGTTTGTCAACTTAGCGCGTCTCGGCCCCAAAAGGGCCACCCCCATGCCGTGTCAAAAGGGGCCCTTTACTTGGGGTTGACAGGGATGGTCATGGCAGTAAGGATCGTTGATGATGAGTATAATGATTCCGACCAAGGGAAGCATCAGCGACCGATGACCATAGGCCATATCAGGAGTTTTGACCCATGGTCGCCTTTCTTGGAGGGTGTTCGGCAATGTATCAACTCGTGGCAATCATGTTTCTGGCGACCCAATGTGTTCCATCGAGCAAAGGTGTAACATGCCCGGAGGATGTCTCGTGCCCTGAAAGAGCGTGCAAGAAAGGACAGGGGCTTGGAAGTATGGCATGAGGGAGAAACAGCAATGCAGCTGCCAAAGGGATTCCCACATGGTTTTGTTGGCCACTCCCTGATGACACACCAAAAGTTGATCTGTGAGATTGTGTCGACCCGTACATGCGGGCGTGCCTTTTGCAGGGTACTGTTTTGGGGTGGTTTTCAAGGGATGCAACAAGAAAAACACCAATTCTCAGGTCCTCAATTTTGAGCCAACCCCATGTATAGCTTCAGAACATTTTGCTGGAGAGTTTGGTTCAGCACAGCCCCCAACGAAAGCAGCCGGTTGCTTGTGGGGATCGCAAGCTTTTGGCCAGCAGTAGCTACACTTTGCCATCCGAGCTCCTGAAATCAGTTTGCAGGCACGGAAAATGCAAGTCATCAATTCAGCAAGTGAGGAATCCTGAGAGAATATCAAACATGTCATGCTCGAATTCGCCATATCCTGGAACATTCATCCAACCGTCTGGAGAATTCGGCGGCAAGACACATCCGAGTCATTCATGACAAATCGTTGTGGGCTCCAAGCAGGCTGCCCGAAATCCAGATCGTCGATTTGGCAGGCCTTGGAGGCAGAGGTGGCTTGGGAACAGGCGGGCAACACTGCGGGGGTTGGTTTGGTTTCGACTGACCTGTTCCTTGTGGGCTGGGATGTGAAGAGCTTTGGTTGGGTTTGGAGAGGTTCCTACACAGTTTCAGGGTCAAACAGATTTGGGTGGAGGTTGGAATCACTGCCGTTTAGTCAACTCGTTCTGACAAGTCGGGGGCAGCAAGGAGCCCAAAAGGAAATATGACTAGCACAGGCAAAGAGGAGCTTGAACATGCTACAAGTGTAACACTTGAATTGCTTTCTGCTCATAGCATTCTCAGTTAAATTCCAAGCATAGTCCATTTGTTGATGGCATCGGGGCAACTCTGTTCTAGCCAAAGGTAAGTATGATTGTTTTCAGTTTCACAGGCAACAAACTCACCGCTCTTCCAGCCCATTCGTCCCGCTACGCAATTCATGGTGTGCCACCTTGCCTTCTTGGCAGAGGTTGCAAGCATTGCTGGTGGCATCAAATAAAAGCCCAATGGGGATCACTTTTGGCTTTCCATAGCTGAGATATTGATATCAGAGCCTTTTTCGGTTTGAGCCACGTTAGAAGTGACCCAACGACACATTTGAGCACATTTGAAGCTGCCCAGTTAAGAAGTGGATCGTGACAGTTGGCCGCCATTGTAACGGGGAACACGCTGAACAATTGTTGCTGGACAAACATCGCCATGAGATTGATGCAAATGCCTTCCAAATGATCCCCAAATGCCCTTTGTCCTGTCAGGCTGTGCTGGCAACATGTACAGCTCCCCCCCTCCAGGCGTGTGAGATGCGATGTGTGTGCAGACCATGCTTCCAGAGTTCGAAGTTTCGGAGTATTGGCTTTGTGTATGGTGTCGTCATGAAGTCAAAGTTCCAGAAAATCGCGACAAGCCTTGAGAGACTGCCGCCCAACCGCCAGAGAAGATTGTTTTCCAGCATGTCTGTCGCTTGCAAGGCCCCATGTTCTCCATGCCGCCTGCGACGGGATCCTTCGTTGCAGGCTGGATTTTCCTTACTGGCCGTATCCATGTCGCCGAAGCTAAGCTGTATTTCAGACTGCTTGGAGAATGGGACAGGCAGTTGGCTTGAAGTTGCGTTTTGCCAAGGAGAACAAGACACAACACCATACAAGTCATATTGACCTTGTTTACAAGTCTTCGCGCTGATAAGTGGCTGGGTCCCCCAGTAGTGCCCTTTTACCTTTTTTTGGGGGAGGGTTCCCCTACTAAAATATACTACAGAAAATAGGGTATCCTTATTCTAACCTCCTACTGGAGGACCTAGGTGGCTGCGCTGAGTGGCAATTTCGGGCATTGGGAGTACGCATGTGTTCTCAGTGGCACAAGCATCTTCCACCTACTCATATTACTCATGCTATCTCACGACCTTCGGGAGCTACACACATGCAAGATAGTTTAGGGATCCTCCTTGGCATCAGTTTGTCAGACAGACACCTCAGACAGCTGCAGGGATACTGTAGTAGAACAATCTGAAGTGAGGGGATCATGCGGTTCAACGCGTGCAGGTGTGGGGGGGGGGGTTGCAACGCGGCGCTTGCACAACTTGGCCCGATGTCATCAGTGATTTGCGGCGCATCTCATGTGGACCGCCTTGGACTCGTCGGTTTTCGGGTGCAGATACCTCGCTGGCCAGAAGCGAGGAGCCTCAGATTTTGACTCCGGAAGGTTTTCCTCGGAGAGATGTGTCTATATGTGTGTGTGTGTTTGTGCTTTGGAAGGGAAACATGGGAAACCAAAGGAATGCCACCATTTTGGACTCAGATTAGGGTCCTGCAGCATTCCCTCCCCCACAATGCGTGGAGGGAAATGGGAAGCTGGCCAGAAACAAAATACGTCAAATGCCAGGGATAAGCACAGCCCGAAGCAAAACGCACCCTACCGAAAACTTTGGCGAGATGTGGCCAGTTGTGCTTCTGTGCGCAAACCGTATTGCGTCGTTGGTGGGTATCCCGCTCGTGTTTCCTTGCAAATACAAGTCTTGTCGAAGTCGAGGAGAGGAGCAGTTCCAACTGCTCTCAGCATGCAGCCTTGTTCCCAGGCCAAACGCCCTCAAGCCAGCCAGGCGGGCACACGGGAGGCGGGGGGCCGAAATCAGGGAGGTATCCGTACAGCATGTTTGCGTTGTTTGTCCAGTGACCCAGTGTACATTCCCTGACCAAAGCCACGCTTCAAAGATGGCACAGCATAGTGTTACGGAAGGAGCCGTGGTAACTCATCTTTGGACAAGCGCGTGAACTCCGGCTGTCTTGTTCATTGTGTTGCCTGCCAGTCTTCATGATATGTTATGAATGTACTTGTATGTGTCTATATTCTATATTGTTCAAAGCAACCTGAAGAAGGGCAGAATTTGTAGAAACCGAAGAGATAGGATCTCAACACAGGGTTGCCCAAACACAGCAGCCACAGAGGATAGCCACCTTTCAACCTCTGTCGTTACGGCAGGCTTGAATGGCTCCGAGGAGAAATGCGCAGGCAGGGACCATTCGGGCAAACGGTTGGCGTCGTTAGAGCCAACCAACCAGCCAGCCAGTCAGCCAGCCACCCACCCACCCAAGCGTATCACTTACTGAGTAGATCCTTCAACTTCGAAATCGAGTTTGGTCAGCAGGTAGCATAAACAAAGTGGGCTGAGTTTTCACCATTGGGTATGAGATTTCTCTGAGCTTTCATCATTGGGTATGAGGTTTCTCTGATTGTATCAAGATTCATTTGGCAATCTCACCAAAGATGCCGGTTTTTACCAGCTCAACATGGAAAGCAAAGGAGGCTGGAAGACTACTTGCGTTCAAAAGTTGTCTTCGACTTTCATAATACACGGAGAGACAGTATGCCGTTCCCACCTCCAATGCGTTTGTCCTCGCTGCAGGTGCGCGGGCCAAATCTGTGCAGGCAGGTTGATCATGATAGCGCCGTACGCTTGCCGGGGTTGGGTCCTACAAGCTAGGCTGTTGAAAGATCCATAATCCTTAACTTCTCCTTTGTTGTGGTTTCGCAAGTGACCACTGGGTGAACTGCAGGCTGCATGAGATTTCAAGAGGGAGGTCAGGCTTTCGTCTGGAAGCTTTCAACAACAATAGACACTTGGCGCGAATCGAATGCGTCAAAAGCCAGTACGTAGGGCGTTGGAAAAGCAGAGACGCCAGTGTAGCCGGGACTACAAAATTCAGAAAGGAGCATGAGAAGGTTTAATGGAGGAGCTTGCCCGGTGCTGCTCTTACATCAGCGAGGCTGTGGCACAATGGCAGCGCACCCCCCCAACTGGGAGGGAGGTTGCAGGTTGAAGTTTTGCCAGCCTTACAGTCCTGCCAGCCTCACTGAAAAATGGAAGACAATTTGGTATGCACCCCTGGATTGTGCATGAATTGACGAAGCCTGATGTGGCGTGGTCCCTTGCATAGGTGCAAACACACAATCCAAATGGTGCAAACACCTGCAACATTCGCTTGGCAGATTGCTGAACATCTTCTCACTGTGCAGGATGGTGTCCATACTGTATGCATACTATTCCTCATGGAATCCAGGTTACTCCGTGCCTCTTTGAGTAGCTATTACATCTTGCCATTGGGGAGATGGCAAAAGGAATGGCTAACCTGGTCAGAGCTCTGCCAGACATCCGTCCGTCAATCTAACTCTAGGCCGATGAGGCGGCTTGGGGCTTGCATGTACACAAACTACACACTAGGTACTACACAGCCCGTAGTTGCCCGTGTAATATCGCGCGGTTTTTAAGCTTTGGAGCAACCTTTCCAAGCCGCGATTGCAATGTTAGTTCCTCGTGTGAAATGCGCCGAGCCAGTGGGGAATTCCTTGCGTTCCCGAATCCCATTGGCACGCTGCTGTCCAAAGCTCCGTTTTTCAGCCCCCAACTGTCGTTTGTCAAGCATTTTGCTACACTGCAAACCGCATGTTGCCTGGGACCCGCATGAGGAATTCTCTTCAAAAACCGACCGGGGGGGTGTCCTTAATATATTGTTCACCCAAAAGCCTTAATGCCCCAAATCTTTGTCGGTTTTTCAGTCGCAGGCAACACACACTCTTGAGAAGTCTTGAGAAGTCAGTTTGGAAAACGACCCTTGCAACTGGAACAGAGCTGCTCTTGACAAATCAATTCAGGACATGACATGTCCAACTGCACGCAGCTCCGCTTTTCATCCCCCAACTATCGTTTGTTCAAGCACTTTGCTTCAGCAGCAGCAGCAGCAGCAACAACAACAACAGCAACAGCAACAGCAACAGCAGCAGCAGCAACAACAAAATAACAACAACAACAACACCAACAACCACAACAACAACAACAACAACAACAACAACAACAACAACAACAACAACAACAACAACAACAACAAAACCAACAAAACCAACAAAACCGACAACCGACAACCGACAAAACCGACAAAACCGACAAAACCGACAACCGACAACCGACAACCGACAACCGACAACCGACAACCGACAACCGACAACCGACAACCGACAACCGACAACCGACAATCGACAACCGACAATCGACAACCGACAACCGACAACCGACAACCGACAACCGACAACCGACAACCGACAACCGACAAACGACAACCGACAACCGACAACCGACAACCGACAACCGACAACCGACAACCGACAACCGACAACCCACAACCCACAACCCACAACCCACAACCCACAACCGACAACCGACAACCGACAAACGACAGACGACAAACGACAAACGACAAACGACAA